GAGCAGTCCATTTTCCAGTCTGTATGGCTTTCCTCCATCTCCTTCAGACAAAGGTGTTGTTCTCAGTACACAGGACTTGAAAAAACAGGCTAGGAAGTTTTATGTAAAACAGAACAAAATGACGTTTTGGGGTTTAAAATTGTGGTTTAAAAATGACTGTTGGTTTTAAAAGCACTTTTTTAATAGCAAAACTCTACCAGAGTATGATACCCCTCCCCATGAGCAGTTCTGTTCCATGCTTCTATGTCTGTTTAGCAGCTATGCATTTCTTTATTGTAGAGCAAACAATTGCCTTCAAGTGTCCATATTCCATTAAGCATATGGAAAAGTATTCAGCCCTTTGTTTTCTGCAGAATGAATTTATTTGTCACTTAAGTATTAATTTAAACTAGTCATGGAACATTAGTTCTTGGTAATTGTCCGCATTTTTCTGGGGTTTATTTAACTGATGGAAATTATTTCAGAAATATGCATCTTCTTTAACTGTTACATTCATTGCTGAATGTCCCTTGCAGAGGCTGCAGACTCGCAGCAGTGACAAGATGTTGCCCCGTCACACAAGATTTTAGAACTGCTGATGCATGTCCACTGAGGGAGAGCAGTAAAAAGTCACCCCAATTCTTTTCATAAAAGCCAGCTCTGGTTTTGCCAGTTCCTGAGGTTTTCCCTTCCCAGGAGCCCAGCCCAATTCCTCAGAGAGGATGCTGCTCCTCTGCCATGGGACCACAAGGCTTCTTTCTCAGCACTGCATCCAGCAGCAACATCAAAGACAAGCACCTGCCAGGCTCCAAGGGCACACACATTCTCCAAGGGAGAATGGTGCTCTGCCTCACTGAAAACCATGGGCTGAGCTTTTTTTGCCTCAGTTTCCAAAGAAAACTGCCAGCTCCTTCCCCCAGACTTCAGGATGACACTGCAGAGCTTCAGACAAGCTGTCACTCCTTTCAGCAAGAGGCAAGAAAATGAAGCAGATCTCTTCTCCCCAGTGAAGGAATGTTATGGAGTGAGCAGCTCCTGGGAAACCACCAGAAGTCTGCCAGTGTCCCACAGGCAGTGTGTATCATGTCTCAGATGCTGGTATCTCTCCTTCTGCTGATTGTGTTTCTCTGCTGTCAAGTGTTACCATTGCCCCACAGTTCTGCTTCGCAGGCAGCTGAAGCCAGGTAAATTGTGCCAGGTTTCTGCTCTCCCAGAGGGCTCATCCACTACACTGGTAAAGACCTACTCTCTAAAGCCTTTAGTAGCTTTAGGGCATCCCCAGCACCACCTGCAGCCCTTAGGTGGCATCAGGTAATGTCCCCTGCACCTCAGTGTCTCCCTCTGTTAAAGAGCAGCAAAGGAAAAGCCACTGCTGGGTGGGGAGGGAAATGAACCCAGGCTCCGTGCTTCATCAGAGATGCAAATTGCTCTACAAATCCTGAGCATTAATTATAGAGCCTGGGCTTCTTGCTGGAGCCACGGGGAAAACAGGTCCCTGGCTCACGTTAAATTTAATGGTGTTTGGACACCCGATTCTCTTAGCCTATTTGAAAACCAGAATCCCACTTTCTCCAGATATATATGTGGTCAGGTGAAATCCCTCATCCCACTGCAGACAGCAACATTTTTACAGCATTGCATTCAGCAAAGCCAGGAGCCCTCCCTCAGGTGGTGGGGTGTTTTCCTTGTGCCGTCTGTGGGATCTAGGAAAGAAACAGGGAGTGACATAGTTAGCAGAGGTCTGGACAGAGGGCTCAATGCACAGGCTGAGGAACACAGCTTTGGCACCATGGTTTCATTGCATGGGCTGGTTCACCACACCAAGCTGAAGGCTGTCCCACTGCAGGGTCTGGGAGATGGGCATGGAGGGCCCTGCATGCCCTGGATGTGAGCTGGACATGGAGACAGAGCTGCCTTCCTCCAGCACTGCTTCATCTCTCATCCAGTGCCTCCAAAGGTCATTATGTGATGGTTCTCTTCTGCAAGGAGCAGACCTGTGAGGCTACAGCTGCCTCTCACTGTGTAGCTGCAGTGGCAGTGTGATGGCTCAATGTGGGATGAGATAAGAAATAATGCAGTTGGGAAAAAAGTGGGGGGGAAATCAAACATCTGGGGAGTTAGGAGCAGAGGATGCCCCTGGCTGAGTGAGTTGTTGCTGGTAAGCAGCTCCTGGAAGCCACATTATTTTGTGACATGCTGCAGTGTGGGATGTTGTTTTGCTAGGATTGTAGGTGTACAACAGTGAGAGGTGATCCCTGCCTGGGAGGGCTCACAGAAGCCAGACTTTGATGGGAGTATGGCTGTCCTAGTTCGCAGATGAACCAGTGAGCAAGGACAGAATTTAAGCAGAGCCATAAGAAGCTGCCTACCCTCTAGCCCAGTCTTTGTGCACAGGGCCAACCTCATGTTCAAACACCAGCTGTGTTTCCAGCTGCATGCATTTTGGGGAAATTCTTGATCTTTTTCCCAGTGTTACCTCTTTGTTCAGGGTGGAGTTTTCCTATTCTGAGGGACTCCAGCATTTCTGCCTAATTTAGCACAGAGAAAATGAACAGCAAACCCTTCATATTGTTATACGCATTTTAGATGTCGGCCTCACAGTTTGATCAGCAGAGGCTCCAAAGGCTCGTAAACCTGGTAATACATAGTTCCAGGACTGCATCAAAGAAGTTCACAACCCTTTTGGGAGAAGCTGTGAGTACTGATGAAAGAGGGAACTTATTGTATATGTAAGAAAACCTCTTTCATGGCTTATGTATTAAGGCAGGCTCTGTGGCCCAGGGAAGATTGGGGCTGCTTTTAATTTACATCGCCCCTCACTTATATTAAGTCTTCGTCAGAAGAAAAATTAGTCAGATGTTTTCTTAATGACATCATTTTTTTTAATCCTGTTTCATTTTTTCCAGATGAGGCGGTGGAGATTATTAGAAATGAATTGAAACTAAATCTGGAACAGAGACTTTGATTCACTTCTCCCTCCTCCCCGGTAGAAATAAATTGGTCGGCTCCGTGCTCGGATGCCTTTATTAGCAGCCTCGACAGAAACCAGCCCCAGCGGCCTCGGCTGCAGCTTCCTGAGCTCGCCGCCGCCACGGCTGACGTCATGGCGAGAGGCACCAGGGAGTGACTTTGGTCACCCCATAATTTTGGTAATGGAAGGCCATGGCAACACAGGTGGGGAGGTTATGAGGTCTGAAATAGCCATGCCATCATCAGTTCATCTTTCAGTGTCATGAAAGAAAACAGGGTTGATGCTGGTGGGTGTTTCTCTGGCAAAACCCCAGCCTGGGTCTCATGAGCCACCTGTTTTGGTGGCTGTGCATCTCCACAAAGCCTTTATGTGTGACAGGTTTTCACTGCCTGGTATTTCACACCACCAAGTGTGCACTCTACCACACTGTAGAGTGCATTTCTACAGGAAAGTACTTTGAACTATAAATATTTCAGCAGGCATTTAATTTACTACCCATCAGCAGAAAGTGTTCAAAAAGCCACAAGGTTTACTAATTTATCAGAAAGACAGAGAAACACACAGAAGATCAAACAAAGACAAACACGCTCGTTAAATTGCTGAATAAGTCTGCAAAGCTTATATTACATTTCTATGTGGTTTTGTTGATATGCAAGTATTACAAATAAATTAAAATGCACCTGAACTGTTGATAAGGCAGGGTGGGACTGAGATCCTGAGGTGCTGGTGGCGTGTTGAAACTGCTCAGATCTTCGTGTTTGTGGTTGTCTGTGCATGGAGAGACAGATCTTCTGTGCACTCACTAATGGCATACTTGAATAGTCTTAGTGAAGGGTCTTTGTAATACCCTCCCTTAGATCAGCCCACATCCCAGACCCCTGACCTCCAAATCCCTGTTGTCTTCTGTGCTCGGGGTGCAGCCCCATGGGGTGCACATCCATCTCCCTCAGCTTTGCCAGAGCACCCAGTCAGGGACAAATGCTGTCCCTGCTGTGACCTGTGTGTCAACGCCAGCTCTGCTTCCAGCAGTCTGTGAGTACAGAGAGAGTTAATACAAAGCAGATTTTGCTCTTTTGTTTTACCTAATGACAGCTCTGCCTCCTTTGGTGTCTAGCTCAGATTTTCTGCATTTCAGGTCAGGGTGAGTAACTTTTTCTCCTTTGCACCCTCTGTGGTTTGTCTAAGAGGCTGGAGGGTACAGTAGGGCACGTGCTTGGGAGAAGTCTGTAAACTTTCTCTTCCATCCTTGTTCATCCTTCAAAAAACTGCTTAAGCACTGAAACACTCATGTGATGGTTTTTTGTTACCTGCTGAATCCCTCAGTATTTACTGACTTTATTCTCAGGTAGCACTTGGCCTGGGGAAGATCTGAGGGATTTAAGAGAGGCGGCCCCCAGAAAGCATGCTGTAAAACCTCTCATGAACTTTTGCCCTCTGAACCATACCACCAACCTGTCAAGGAGGTTTGTGCTGGCCATGATGGACGCAGGAGGTGGGGCTGCTGCGCCAGCACGGGCCAAGCCATGCATGCTGGGCTGAGCAAAGCACAGCTCAAGATCACATGAGTTCTTGCAATATTTCCATCCTTGCACAGACTGCCCTGTGCAGGGCTTTCTGCATATGGCAGCTCTAGACATCTGGATATCCAGGGGCAGTGAGGAGCTTGCACACCCCAGGTTTGCCTCAAATGTCGTTGTATGGGCAGCCTCCCTGTCCAAGGAGATGGAGTGGGATCTCTAGCACCGGGTGTGTTCCATGCCTCCTCTGTACACAGGCACTGCCTAAAGCAGCTCATGCCCCTTTCCATAGCAGCCCAGTTGGGGTGAGCCACCTTGCACAAATACATATTTAGTGCAATATTTGTGCATGTCCACAGGAAGCTTGGGAGCTTCAGACTCTGCATATGCCAAGAAGAGAAGATTGTCCCTCTGTGTGGCTGAACTCCTCTCTTGTGGGCGAAGGTTGTGGGGCAGGACAGAGAAGGGTGGCAAGCAGTTGCGCGTGCTCTGGGTGGCTGTGACTGACGGCATGTCTCTGCTTTCCTTCCCAGGCCTCCTCCTCTGAGCGGCAGCCCTGTCATCTCCGACATCTCCCTCATCCGCCTGTCTCCGCACCCTGCCGGGCCTGGCGAGTCGCCCTTCAGCCCCCCTCACCCCTACGTGGCACCCCACATGGAGCACTACCTCCGCTCTGTGCACAGCAGCCCCACGCTCTCCGTCATCTCTGCTGCCAGGGGCCTCAGTCCTGCCGACGGTAAGGCACTGTGCTACTGTGATTTTCTAGCTCACCAGGACTGAAATTCCCTAAAACCCGGGGATTTACAGCTGCAAAGACTCCACAGCTGCTCTCTGAAGTGGGAGAGCTGTCTCTTTTTCTTTTTGTTGTTTCTTTTTTTTCCCCTTTAACTACACATTTGTTTTGCATCATCGCACTGAGAAAGCAGAGCGTGAGAATAGCTATTACTGCTGGATCATATTATAAATATTTTGCTTAAAGTACGTTCCTTTCTGCAGCGCTCTTTCTCTCTTAGGAGCTTCCCTGTTCTTAAGTCTCGACTGGGACCCAGCTTTCCCCAGAGAGGGTCACAATTGTTCTGGCTGCCTGGCCTGGCTGAGACTGATATTACAGAGGAGACAACACCAGCTGGGTTATCCCTGTTGGCTTTGTGTCTGGGGTCAGCGTGGCTGCTGAGTGAAGGCGAGGGGCCATATTTTCTTCCTCCTTACTCCTGAGCTGCTCTGCAGCAACCTTCAGGGAAGGAGAATATGTGGGGAGTTGGTGCTGGGTGCTGGCAGAGGTGATCATGCTCTCTGAGCCCAATCAGACCTCATGTTGGGGAGCTGGGAACAAAGACATCCAACAGGGAAAGGGGAAAATGCACAACACTGCTTTCACTTGGCTAGGTGTAAGTCATGCCTTACTTCATCAGGAGAGCTTCATTACACAGTTGCAGGTGGCTGGCTCAGTGTCCAGGGAATAGCTGGGGACCTGGTCTCTGCATGCCCAGCAAACCCCAACATCCCTCAGCTCCCAAGCTGCTGCTGGGGCCAGTGCTCCTTCAACACTGCAAAGCAAAGTGAACCAGAGAGCAACAAGGCCCCTGGATTAGTGTCTGGCAACATAAAACTGTCTTGTATGGCTAAAACAACATCACTATAGTGATGGGGTCATACGTATGTCTTCTTCTTCCTTCCCCATAAAACGTCATTGGAACTCACAGGCCCCTGCCAGAGAGAGTCTCATGGCTTGTGTGTGTGTGTGTTCTGCCCTGTCCTCTCCTTCCAAAACCAGCTTCATTGTTTGCTGTGGAAGAAAGGCATTACATTTTGGGTTGCTTTTCTTGTCCTCCTTTTCTTTTCTTTTTTTTTTCCTTGTTTAAGGTGGTGGTAAATAAGTTAATGGGGCAAGCGGGTGGGGAGGCAGGTTTGAAAAATTACAGCTGGGAGAAAGTGAGTGTAATTGGCTTTGGCAGCCAAAATGGTTTTATGCTGCCAGACACTAAACCTAGTTCTATGCATTAGACCTTGGCTTTAATTTCCTCACGCTGCTATCGGGAACTGGGCTGCATTTGTCTTTCCTTCCTAATAGGCAGGGATGTTAATGCTGACAGGGTTACTGCTGTCGGCAGCCTGGGCCCTCTCCCCCCCTCCCAGGGGTGCTGGCTGCGTCCGAACGGGAGGATTATTAGAAGGGGGAACGAGAGATTGTTTATAAATTTGCGGAAATGGAGGAATGCAGAGGCCCCAGCCTGGTCTCCTTTGTCCACAGAAGCACGCCCAAGCTCACGTCACGCGCGCCCTACGCGGAGCCGTGTGGCTGGGGCTGGCGGGGGGCGCGGGGGGAGCCGGGGCTGCCGGCGTCAGCTCCAAGGTCTAACACTGCACTGGGAACCTTCTCCCCATGTTTCTCTCCTCGCCTGCAACTCCAACAGTGGCTCATGAGCACCTGAAGGAACGAGGCCTCTTCGGGCTGCCACCGCCACCACCGGGAGCCAACCCTGCTGACTACTACCACCAAATGACGCTGATGGCCGGCCACCCAAACCCCTATGGGGACCTCCTCATGCAGGGTGGGGGAGCAGCCAGCACAGCCCACCTCCACGATTACCTCAGCCCTGTTGATGGTGAGTAGCAGCTTGGGTTCTTTATGGCAATGCTAAAATTTTGGGATAGATGGATGGGACTGCCCTCCAGGTGGAGGTTGCTGAATGTGGTCACTCTGCCCTGCTGGAGCTTTTGGGTGCTGCATTGTGATTTATGGCTTAAAAGGTCACCTCCTTCCATAGATATATATAAAATACACATAACCTAAAATAGATACATCCTGCTGTCTTAGGAAAGGATGGCATGGCTGCAGCATGGGTAGGAGATGGGCTGGTCCAGCAAGCTGGCCATTGCTGCTGTCCTGCTGCATTGACCATGGGTGACCAGAGTGTGCCTGGGGACAAACTACATCTCTAGCTCCTCATCCCACCCTGTGTTTTGCCTTCTTGGTGTCTGGGGTGAAGCTGGGCCATGTGCATGCAAAGCTGGACTAGGCACAGTAGACATCTCATCTTGGTTGGGACCTCTCAGGTCCACAAGGAGAGAAAATACCTGAATGGGGAGACACAGTGGAAAGAATAAAATAGTACTTAGAGCAAGGAAATTTAAAAAAGCAGGAATGTGGTATTTGTGATAGCATGTGTGTTATAAACCCAGAAAGCTTTCTCTCCTGGCTGCATGAAGAAGAAATAGAATCATGTTAGGCACTGCAGTGCTGAGTCACCCCTGTGGCCTGACTGCTGCCCTGGGAAGAGCCTATCTGGAAGCATATATGAGGTCCAAATGATTTTTAGAGCTGTAAGAAATGGCTTTCCTTTCACTTTATGCTACATCTTGCAAGAACTGGTTGTACAAATATTACAGAGGGCAGTTTGGGGATTATTTCTGCTGCAAGAAGGAAAAATCTCAGCTCAGCTTTCAGATTCGGTGTCTGTTTCCTGGGATGTCTTTGGATTTGCCTGTGGACCATTACAATTTTTGCAGTGGAGATCTGCATCATTTCATTACCGCTTCAAAGTTTCTGTTGTTGAGCTTTTAAGATTAAAGACTTTGTGGTCTTGCTGCTTCATAAAGTGACTGGTTTAGAATGATAAAAGCTGTTCTGGCTTTTCAGTGATGGGAGTTTACAGATACTTCTAATGGAAAAACAGTTTCTCATCTGTGGCTGCTGTGGAAGTTTTACCTGAATAGTCATTTTGTGCTGGCAATTCCTAGATTAATTTGGAACTTCGATACCAGTCTGAAAGAGAGAGAACAAGCTCCTTGGTACCATCCTGCCCTCTAACACCCAAAATATATCCCAGGCCTCTCTTCTACAAAGCAGCTGGTCAGTAAGACTGCTCTGTATTCTCTCGCAAGGGTTAATGCCTGTGCTTATAGCAGATGGGTGCAAACAATCCCTGCCAAGTTCCCCTCGGGCTCATGAACAAGACTCCTTCCTCCTTGCCTCCTTATTAGTCCATCTCTGACCAGCAGTGCCTCACTGAAGTGCCAGATAAACAACCAGTGAGGGAAGCAAACAACTGTTTTCATGGTGGTACAGCCTGGCTCCCAGCACACCAAGATGCTCATCCTCTGGTTTGCTGAAGATCAATCTTTATCTGAGGTACTGAGATACTCCCCTTGGCAGAAGACTCATACTGTTTGCCTTCTCCTGAAAACAGCTCTACGGTGAATCATGTATCAAAGGTCTCCGTTTCATGCAGCCAAGCTTATAACCATGATTCACTGCAGAGCCAGGGCTCACCAAGAATTTATTACAATCTTTTGAAAAAGTTTTGTTGGTGATTAACTGGAAAGCCTTTTCTGGGTCTTCACATGTTCTGCACGAGATGGAAATTTTCAAACATTATGAGAATGTGGCACAAGACACTACTTTTTAAGAATGTGTAAAGGAGCACCAGTCCAGTACCAATCCATGTGCCTGGGTTTATCCATCACCCAGAGAAAAGAGAAATTGTACATTATTAAAGCAGAGAGTAAAATGGATGGCTCTGAAATGCTCAATGAGGAGACAGTGTCTCCTTCTCTTTTTAGAAAGTTATTTCAAAAATTTAAATCAGCATGGCCTAAGTAAATAGTTGAACAGATAATTTAATAAAGCATCCTCTTATGGTGTTTTTCTGAGACAAGAATATCAGTAGCATGCATAAACCCCCAGTGAGTCACCACCTCACTGCATCTGTCGTTCAGAGAGCCCTTTTCTTCCCAGGGAGCCTGGGAACATAGCAACTTTACAAGAATTAGTTTGCAGAAAATGCAGGTAGCTCTTGTTAAACCACATGCAGCACCATCATTCATCTGTGATAACACTGGCACCTGCAAAAAGAAAAGCAGGAGATAAGCATATATTAAACATGGCCTATTCAGTGTCACATCACCTTCAAACATCTGCTGGTTGGTCCATGGGAGCTGTGGACACTGGCTATGGTGATTCTTCCACAGACACATACCTGTGCCTTTCTGGTTCCTATAATTGCATTTCTCAGAGAATTTCTCAGTGCTTTCATGGTTTTTTGTCTGTATTTTTCACTCCATCACATGTCTAAAGTCAGGAAAAGTAATGGGATATAAATGGCAGCTGGAGCTTGTTGGTGCCAACCCTTTGCCAGGCCTGCTGAATGTGCACATGGTGACTGAGCTGGGCTGCCCAGAGCTACATCTCTGCTGAGTTTTCAGTGTACAGCTAGAAGAAGTTAAAGCAGTAAAGACCAGATTTAAGTTTTCTGTACCAAATTGCTGCGGTGTTCAGGCCAGTCCCAATGGAGACTAAACAACCATTCAGTTGCTTCTCCTGTGCCATTTCCCCATCCAAACAGGGACTCAAAATCCAAGAGTGGAGTTTGAATCCAGGCTTAATCCTATTTTCTGGAAAGCCTATAATTTCAAATCAAAAGTTGATCACTTTCCAATGTCACAGCATTGCTGATGGGGTACATTGGAGACTATCTACAGGTTCTATTCACCAGACCAAAACAATCTTTTGCATTTCTTTTTTAGAAGTAGTGCTACATGGTGGATTATTCCATGTGACAGAGTGGTTGTGCAAGAGTATCTCTGAGGCAGGAAAGACTGGTGGGGAACACAATGACCCTGGAGATGGCTACCACTTTCATGTTTAGTACTTCCAGCTGCTTTTTCCCCTAGGCACAGGGCTTCCTGTGATTACCCTCAGCCCTTCAGGAGGAGCTATTTTCTCTCAAGAGGAGTCTATCCACACTGTCTCGATTCTGCTACTGTTCTAGCCCTGTACACCAGCAAATCTCAAAGTGCTGTACAAGGCAAAGCCATTTCATCACTGGAGACCACAAAGGAAAAGGAGATCAGTGAGCAGAGTAGTGGCAGCTTTAGGAACAAGAGCCAGATGTTTGAAATAATGCCAGGGTAGAAATTAGAGGTCATCTTTAAGTCCATGACTTTGCACAGCTTTAAGAGTGTGATTGGGTTGTGCATGCTGAGTAAGGGAATGGGAAAAAAACATCTTAAGCACAAGTTAGGTCCAAGGTAGTCCCTCATGTCAGGACAGCTGTATAGATGTGTTTGTGCTACACTTACCAATAGCAGGGATGACCCTGCAGTGCTGTCATTGCATTTTGTCCAGTTCTAGAGCTAGAGGGGGGATCTCTACCCCTTATTTTGCTGCCTGGTGCCACAAATGGTGTCACAAATGTCTTGATTCACAATCAGCAGTTTAAGAGGGAAAAGGCTTTGCTCAGCACAGCACGGCCAGCAGCTGGCACAGTTGCTGGCCGTGGGATGTGGGCAAATCACAAAGCGGGACTTTATTTCCCCAAATCAAACAGTGATTTAGCTTCACCAGCCTCTTTCAGTCAGTGTTGTTGGAGTCTTTCTCCTTGAAGGAAATGATTTAATAGCCAGCAGGGTAAGCAGCAGGGCTGGCAGTGCAGCTGGGTGGTGACTGCAGTCGGCAGGCACATGGCTGGGAGAGGTGAGCTCAGGACTCTCTCCAGCAGGTTCATGTGGAGCAACTGCTGCATCAGGACAAAAGCAGAGAGCCAAGCCTCATGGGGACCTAGGAAGGAAGTGCTTCCCCTGGGGCTGGAGGGACAGCAGCCCTGGGTTCGCAGGCTGCATGTTCTGGATCACAGATGACTTCCCAACCAAGCCAGATGTTGGCTTCTCTGGGCAGACGGCGCGTCCTGTAGTTGCTTCCTTAAAAACTCTCAAAGACCTTTTTTTTTTTTTTGTTGTTTTCTTTGTCCCAGCATAGAATGGAAACTTGCTGAAATCTCAGAAAAGGTTCAGAGAATGGGAAACAATTTCCCACCCATTTCTAGCCAGCAGTGCTGTTTTCCTCCCCAGAAAAATATGTGCAGAAGAGAGAAAAAGTCCCAGAGCACCCCATAAGTGCTGTGTCTGGAATCCTGCTGCACTCTGGTTTCTAAAGAATTCAATTTACATATGCAAGTTGGGTCGACTAAACAGTTACCTTGTGGATTGGGAGTAGAAGAATGCAGCCTTGTCTTTCAGCTAGGATTTGAGGGAAGCATTAGTATTCCTTGAACTGCAAAGTTGATCAGCCTGTGGAGAGAAGAAAGAAGGGTCCCAGGGCAGTGTCTGGTGCCAGAACAAATGTCCAGCATCTGCTGCAGTCTAAAAAAGAGGTGTGTTGCCTCTGCAGAAGGAGAGAGGGGAATAAGGAACTGGTTACACAAAGAGTGTTTGTAGTTTATTGCCGCTTATCAGTTATGGGACCGTTCTGTGTTTTTATGGTGCTCTTGGTTTTCATTTGATGATGGGAGTGGGGAGGATATTTCTGTACATTTTGGATGGAGTTTTCTTGGTGAATGGTGAGGAAGAAGGACCATTTTGATAACATAGTATTTATCCTGGGGCTTGGCCAGGGGATGGAGGGGAAGCAGTGGCTCTGGCCAGGTTTCAGTGAGGGGGGCAGGCAGGGTGTGAGCCATCTGCAGCCCATGTGCCTTACAGGCTTGTCTGTTAGGGAGCACATAGCCCTGATGGTCCTGTGCTGTCGTGATCACAGCCACATGTTTGTCTGTAAAGGGTTGCCTGAGATTTCCTTACCCTGAAGGAGCCTCGAAGGAGCTCCCCCTGAGTGTCTGGCATTTCTTTCAGGAGGGCTTTGCTGCCACTATTCCTAGTGTGGCATAAGGTCTGAATTCTCTCTCCAGAAGAAAACATCTCTTGTAGAATCCCTCTGATAGCCCACGGCCACAGAAGTGGTCAGAGCAGGAAGTTCTGCTCCCACCTCCCAGACAAGTTCAGGGGTCTGATCCTGCCCTTGGGCACTGGGACCAGGCACCAAAGTTGGTCCACAAGCCACCACATGTAAGAGCTGACCATTTGGTTATTACTGGCCTGTTGTAGATTAATCTTAATTTGGGAGGTTTCTGAGCAACTGGTGGATGTGATAATTCATGGGCACCACAAGAAAGTGCCAAGGATACTCTTTCCTTCTAGCAAAGAAATCTGGACTTTCCTCCCAGCTCTAACCTGTCTGGGGAACTTCGCCCAACATATTTTCCAAATATCAAAAAGTTCTTTAAACTAATCCTGTTCATTTTGAGAAGTTGGCATTTTTGAAAGGGGAGAGGAGGGAGGAGTCTTAGTGATAAATGTTCCCAAAGCTTTCCATCTGTGTGTCTGAAAAGTGTCTCCTGCCTTTAGTTACTTCTCTGGGCACAGTCCCTGCTGAACAGTTGTGTGTTTTTCTTTTAGAACAACACTGGACCTCAGGCAGCAGAGGACTTCACTTATATGCCCCAGTGGCTGTCAGTCAGCCTGTGTTGAACACCTTGCTATGTACAGCTACACAAATGCTGGCCACTGCTGCTGCCTGGTACCATTTAACATTAGTGCTCCATGTCCTCAGATCCGGAGATTCAGATCACGCAAACTTTATTATTTAGAAAAATCCCAATGTTGTTAATCTGCTTTTAAATAATAATTTTGTAAAGATTCTCTCTTCCTAAATGCACTAGTGAGCGTTTCTTCTCGTGCCTAAACTCCTTTTCTGTTTCGCAGACGATTCTCTTCCCAGGCTCCTTGGGCAGGCTGTCATTAAGAAGAGAGGAATTGTTCATCCGTAGCACGATTTTAGGTCACAGCTTTCTGTGGAAGCCTGCAAGACCTAAGAGGCTTTCGTGTAAAGCATAAGCCCAACCTATTGGATCTACTATCAAACATTTCAGATAGCCCATAGTACTTGCAGGATCTAAATTAGAGTGGACACTAACACAATGCATATTGCTGGTTTTGGGCTGGAGAATTCCCAGGAGAGCTTGATAATCTGACAGCTTTCCACAGAGTTTTACATGGGGAAAAAAATGACATATCTGTGTGCAGCAGGGAGGAGTGCCCACATCATCTGCACAGCTAAAATCCAGGTTTCTGTTGGACATCAGGTCTTCTTCCCTCTGCAAATTAATGTGAACCAATGGCTGATCCAGCACTGTGAGCATAAATCATGTGAAGGAAGAGCGAGAAATGAGTACAAGGCTTTTCTTTCTATTTAGTAATTTATCAAGGGAAGTGGCACATTAATAAACAGATCTCCCTTGAGATGTGGGAGTAACAGAGATAAATATGACTGTCAAATCTGGCCTGCTTCCTTCTGTTAGAGAAGAAGGAGACTGTGGGAATGCAAATGCAGGAAACAATATCTGTATCTGGAAATACGCATATTATCTGTAGGACAGAAACCCTGACAACTCATCTGAGATGGGGCCCCATCGCACTTGGTGCAGTATGTACACAATAAAATACAAGCCCTGTCTAAAGGAGCACATCTAAATAGATGACACTGGGAAATAGGGACACAGAAAGAAGCAGCAACTTGCTCAAGGAGGTGTGGCTGAAGAGGACTGGGAAGAGTACCCAGATCTTTCCAGGTTGTGGTGCATGTATTGAGTCAAGATTCCTTATGGCCAGAGGAACATTATGATCTAGGCCCAAGCAACCTTCATGTTGTTTGGTCTAAGGTTCTGGCAGGGCTCAGATTTCAGGAACCACATGGGAAGTTTGGGAAGTCTCCATTTCAGCCTTTTGGGCCAGCCTTTGCTGAGAGGAGTTCATTTGCACAATTTGGTTTTGTCCACAGTGCCTCTAGAAAGTGGCTGCATCTTTTCTAACTTCCAGGGAAGTTTCACACAGGGCTAGAGTCTTTCAGCTGCAAGCATTTGGGAAGTTTGAGCCTAGTCCCTCAAAATCGTGGGACAGCTTTAACACTCACGTGGTGTTTTTTATAGACTGCTGCCCTTTCTCTTTGCTGTCTGATCTTTCAGTTATGTTTTCTAGCATCTCTCTGCCCCTGAGGCTGCACAATGTAGTTGTACAAAATATTATAAGAATGTGTTGAATGTAAACAATCTGATTTTTAAGAGAAATTTCCTAGTATTGTCAGTTTTTCAGTAAAGGCATTGCATCTAGCCACTCTTGAAGCTGCCTAGGTGTAGAACAAAAGTCACAAGAGTGCTTGGTTCAAGTACCAGCTTAGCCTTAGATTTCCAGTGGCACACTGGGAAAGTAATTTATCTTGTGCAGGGAGGGTCATTATGGGGACTAAGAGGATGGTGATACTAAACCCCATAGATTACACAGCACCTGGGCATGGTAATGGCAGAGCCACTTTGGTGCATGGGCAAGTCATGTGGAGGCTGGGATACTGCAACCCAGCCACTGGTCTCAGGGAAATGCTGACACAGACTGCTGTGAGCCAACACAAATCAAGGAATTGTTTGATCACACCAGCAGGATACATCTTACCTCATTCTACACCCCATTCACCCTCTCACATACCAGTACTGTCATCAGGACAGAAAGTTCACGCTCTTACAAAGTGTCAGGCTTGTATTTAGTGATATGCAGCCAAAATCAGTGCCTTCAACCAGCTAGAGGAAAATGGCTCATACTGCCTGTCTGGGCAGTTCAGTGTTTTATTCACAGCATTTAATAGGATAAACCCATAGTACAGGATACTTTCTGGGGGAGACCACCACGGGAGAAGTCATGTGGTGATACATTACTGTGCTGATCAAGGGAAGAAGCTGAAGCAGCTGAGCCCTCCTGCACCCCTGGGTGGATGGCAGGGATTACCAGCCAGGACCCATTGCCAAGTGCTATATTTTACCCTCGGATTTTTTATTTTTTTTTTTTAATACACAATCCAAACATTGCTTGCTTTGGAAGGATGAGTCATTCCAGGCAGGCAGGGTTTGGATGTGGTGCCCTGGTACTGAGGAAAGTTGTGATATGGCCCATCTGCAGCTCCCATCCGTGCCACCCCAGAGAGCTGCAGGTGCGTCAGGCCTGGGCAGAGTTTCCTTTGGGTGAAGTCAGTCGTTCCAGTTAGTGGTGCCGAAACACTGAGGGGTGCCAAGCTTTTACAGTAGTGACCCATCATGTATTGCAGATCCATACATGGGCCTGGCAGGGTTGGAAATGACTTCATGCCTGAATGATTGACAATTGCTAATAGGTTCCAGGCACTGGCAGGTCCCCTCAGAGCGGGAGAGCTTGAACTTTGTGCCTGAGCTGCCAAATTGGTTTTCTTAAAACTCTTAATTTACTTTCAGGGTTTCTGGAGCCTCGCCTCCTCCATTAATTGGATGGTCAGCATTGTGCTCACACTCATTTGGTTTCCATTCCCCCCACACACAGGCACGCACTCACCATTTGCAATGGTCGCCCGGCTTGGATGTGCAGCTCCCCTGGCCTGCTGCTCCTGACACCGAGGCAACATGGCTGTGCTCATGGAAACCTTGTAGGCTTTCTCCTTTTTAAGTTAATTTGGTGCCTATGAAAGGGGGTGATGGACAGGATTCTGTACCCTGAGGACAGCAAAGCAAGCAGGCTTTCATGGCGCTGCCTGATCCCTGCGATTCAGCGCCCAGAAGAGAGGAAACCTCCCATCAAAGGGCAGCTGGTCCCTGCGCTGCTCCTGGGTCCTGAACATCCTGCAGCAGTTGTGAGCACAGCAGTTCTCAGCACTTCCAGCTTGCCTGCAGGAAGGGAGCAGCCCACTGGTCTTGTCTGACAAAGCCTCTCTTTTCCTGCAGTGTCCCGGTTTTCGAGCCCGCGGGTGACTCCAAGATTAAGCCGGAAACGAGCCCTGTCTATCTCCCCACTCTCTGATGCCAGCATTGATCTCCAGACAATGATCAGGACCTCCCCAAACTCTCTTGTGGCATATATCAACAACTCCAGAAGCAGTTCAGCAGCGAGTGGCTCCTATGGCCATTTATCTGCCGGGACGATCAGGTAAAGATCTGGGATCAGCTCCATTCAGCCGAGGAACCACCCACACAAAAGAAGGGATGATCCTCCAGCAAGGGAGAGCTTCCCTTCCTTGCAGCCTCTGCTTTTGTTCATCAGGGTTGTGTAGCATAGTAAATCAAAGCCCCCATGTGGTTTTGCATGTGGAAGGGTATTTTGTGGCATTTGGGGTGGGGTTTCTTTGGCTGGATTTGGGTTATTAGCTACCACTTTTCCAGTAATTACAGTATGATCATGCCTCCCTTCAAGCAGAAACAGATAATAAATTTATCTCAAAAAAATGCTCATTGTGAGAAGTTTAGTTAAGAAACACTCTGATTTAAGAGATTGCCCCAAAGTACTCTCCAAATTACTGTCCCACATTCTTAGAAAAAATGTTGCCTGGGTGGATAGAACAGCCTAATTCTAAAAGCCTATTTAAACCAAATCTAAACCCTTGAGTAAAGTTTTGTTCAAATCTTAATTAAAAAGCACTTACATTAGGCAGCTGACTGTTGTCAATCCCTACTGTGATTGCTTCACCCAAGTTTCGCAATGTTATTATTCTTTTTGTTACTTAACTGTTAAAAATGTAAGATCTAATTAACACTGATGTTGCAAAGCAAAGGGTTACAAAGATTATGCGTGCTTAAAACTTGTGGGGGAAAACAGAGATGTTTTTATTATTAAGTGTAGCATTAATTATGTAAGTTACTTTATCCAGCAGCATAATTTAGAAATTGACTGTAAAATCAAACATAAGGCTGACATAAACAGATTGCAAATTCTTGTCTGGTAATCATATTTTTTCTCATCTTTTTACCTGTTCTCATTAGCTGCACATACCTGTAGCATCTCAACTTATACTCAGATATTAAGAGTAATATCTGGTATTTTTTACCAATCCGTAGAGTCCAGGGCCTGACCCAGTGGTCGGCTTTCAGCCTCCAAGGGAATAATCAACTAATAACAAAGAATTTGAACCCCTTCTCAGTGTTCTAAAAATAGATCCTAAATTTTAGGATTTGTAAAATGGGTAACATATATAGCAGCATAAGTGCCAGAAATTTCTTATGAAAAGACTTTTTTGTTATTATTTTAACAGCATCTTAGAGGCAGGAATGAAATACTCTCTCCAAAAGCAAAATTGGTTATTAAATGTGTTTCTAATGATGGCTGTATTCTCTGAGCACTCACACCTTGGGCAGTTTTAGTGGTGTGAGAGAAGTTACCATGAGGGTAAAGGTTCAGGGCAGCCACTTCTTGAAGATAGAAAATAATCAAGTTTGGACCTGTCTATGGTTCATGCATCACACATCTAGAGTTACCACAGAGCATTTTCTGTGCTTCTCTCTCTCTGCCCAGTGGACTTGCCCCTGGGAGTGAACCCCTTTTTCCAAAAGCAGAACTTTATTTTACTGCTCCCCAGTGCTGCATCCTGTCTTGGACCTGTTGCCCCAGTTATTGCGCAAGCAGCCAGGGGCGAGTGGTGTTCTGGTCACTGCTGACCTAGATTGGAGATGAACCAGTGACCTACATAGGAATTGTGACATGCTTCAGCAGTCCCCTGAGCCAGCACTCCCCTCACCTGAAGTCAGAGTAAACTGCATGGTTTTGGACTATGTTAAGTGGATACTTATTCATCCTTGCTGTAATCTGTGCCAGGTGAGCCAGGTGATGCTTGTTTTTCATATTCAGGTTAGCATAACCCCAAAGCTGCAAGTTTGCAAAAGAGGTCTGCCTGGGGAAACCCAGGAGCCTTAGGGGCTGCAAAGCCAGATTTGCCCAAGTCCCATACTCTTATGAGCTCCCAAGGGCTTTTGTTGGGTTTTTTTACATAGGAAGCGAAGAAATCACGATCAGTCTAATCTTGGGTCAAAATGATTCACAAGTTTGCTGAGGCACGTGCACTTCAAATCATGACTTTGCAGTAAAGCAGGTAGTCAGGCTTATCCTTATGCATTGATGGCATCTATCTGGGCATTGCAGCCTGATTCCTGGAGTCTCCAAGAATCCAAACTGCAATCAGTGACTGGCTAATATGATAAATATTGTTTAAAATAACTCCTCATCATTTCTCTTTCTCCTGTTGCTGCAGTCCAGCATTCAGCTTCCCCCACCCGCTTAACCCCGTGACATACCAGCAGATCCTGACGCAGCAAAGAGGCCTGAGCTCAGCCTTTGGACACACTCCTCCCCTGATCCAGCCATCCCCAACCTTCCCCACACGGCAGCATATGGCAGTCATCTCCGTGAACCCATCACCAGCACAGAGCAGCAGCAACAGCAACTGCATCTCTGACTCCAGCCAGGTAGGGACAGCCATGCTGCATGGCACATGTGGGAACGGAGGCATGTTCTCCGTGAGATGTGGGCTTCCCTTCATGGTGGTTGTGGGAGTTTTAACAATTCTCTTTTTTACTCACTCTGTCCCTTCATGTTGCCTTTTCCTTTTCCTGGGATGTGTTTCTGAATTAGTCACAGACAAGTTTTGCACCCATCTACCTTCCTTGCACCTACCCTTGCTAAAACCAAAGGCCTTGGTCCATCCAAGTATTGAGCACAATATGTAAGGTCATCCCAGGCAGGAAATCTCCTTGAACACGCTCTGTCCTATGAAGTTGAGGGAAATCAGTTGCTTTAGTGCTTTGCAAAATAAGCACCTGTGAACCAAGCTTCTTGTTGGGACCTTCACCAATCCCTCCTTCCTTTAGTACTCATGTGAACCATGATGATGGTCTTAATCTTTAATGTGTAAGTGCCTTCTATGTAGGACCTCTTCACATTTTACTTGCTGTTCCTTCTTTTTCAGTAGATTTTCTCTCAATGTGTCCCTGCTGTTGATTTTTACTACTAAAGTTTACAAAACCAGGGGCCAAATTTTGAAAACTGAATGAGATCCCACACCTTAAATGCATCCTTACTAATACCTGTGAGGACACAAGCACATATATGTGTGCACAAGCCCTCTACATGCACTGGGTTAGTGAATATGCCTAGCACATTCTTAATCATTTTTTCTTTTCCACATACATTCCTTCCAAGTCTAAACTGCAGTTGCTTTTCTCCCCAGAGACTTATTTCACCATATGTCACACCCATTTCACATCGTTTTAGTAGCATCATACTGAACTTTTAAGACTGGTTTATTGTTTTAGGGTTTCTCATGGCTGCTGCACTACAAACTCTGTTTGTTATTGCAGTCATTTGATTGATTGGTTTTGTTTTCTCCTTACAAACTGGCTACCAAAATAGTGTGGCTAGAAAGAGTCCTGTCTCTGTTTAAAAATTTGCAGGACCAATCTTGAGCAATTAGCAAGAGTATTTAAAATGTTAATGTTCCAATTTTGTGCACATATAATGGGATGTTTTTTTCTCCTGAAGTTGTTCTTATTTTTTAAGAGCTTAGCAAATTACACACATAGTCTTTCATGGACACAGCATGCCAGAGCCCTCACATATAACCAGAGCCCCCTGCTTCCCCCAGGAATTCATCTTCTCAACAAATCATTTCATTACATTGAGAAATAAAATTGGCTTGGGTGGGGGTTGTATAAGGCTTTGATGGCTATGCCATGGACTGGATTGCTCTGAAACAGTGCAGCAGTGGAGAGGCCAAGCTCGCCAGCGAGCCTGCAGAAGTTGGGGCTGCCCTTGATTCTTCTTCCCTCTCTCCCATCCCTCTGCTTTGCACAAACCCACATGAGCTGGTTTTCCTGTGAACCCCAGGCCAATCCTGCTGTCCCCTGCCACTCCTGAAGCTCAACCTTGACTAATTTTAAAGTTAGTTTTTAATGAGGAAGTGAACGTCTGTTATCCCAAACCCAGCACCATTTCTTGCCTGGTTTTCTTTTCTAGACCAAGCAGAGCAGTGAGTCGGCCGTGAGCAGCACCGTCAATCCAGTAATTAACAAACGCAGCAAGGTCAAGACTGAAGTTGAGGGCTTGCCCCCAGTGTCCCCAAACACACAGGTAACCTCCCTGCTGTGAGCCATGTTGTGGGGTTGGGGCTGTGAGTTGAGCCTCATGTTTGGAAATTACCCTCTTGGCATCAATTGTAGCTGGGAATAAGGCAGCAAAATCTGCCAGGCAGGCAGATTTGTGCTCTCTTGGAGGACAAAGCCCAGGAAGGGACAGGGCAGAGCTGCCGTGACTGAGTGAAACATTCCATGGGTATTTGGGACTCAGCTTGTTGTTGCTGTGCTTGGATAGGGGAAAAAAAAAAAAAAAAGGAGAGAGCAAATATATCAAGTGTAATAATGTAAAAATGATGTCTGAGTTTTCTGTGCTGCAAAGCAAGCAGCATTAGTCTTAGAACAAACATAGATTATGAGGGAAACTTGCATGTAGGTAGAAAGCTTGCAAAAAAAGGATGACTTCTTGATTCAACAAGGAATTGCTCCTAGAAACATCCTTTACACTGGTGACACAACATTTGACACCAAGAAGGGCCCAGAGGCCTTTGCTTTCTTTCTGGAGCCCTGTGATTGCAAACTGCTTAATGGCTGACAGTATCCATCTGACCGTCCTTTATCACAACTGTAAACTATCAGGAGTGCTCTGGGCACTTCATTTTCATGAAATATTAAGCCGTGTTATTGTCAAGTGAATGGAAGAGTTGATGACAAATTTCTCCTTCTGCCCTGGTTCAGGAGCAGGTCTCAGCATGATGCATGGGGACAGCAACGTGTGCAGTCATCAGGGGGCTGGTAAAATTGATGAAGATAGCATATCAGGGAAAGATAAACATGCTGTAGTCAGCACGATTAGGGCAAAGAGGCACCTCTCTGGAGCTTTGAGTTTAGGAGTGCATCTACACACTGCTGCAAAATCACATGCCCTGAGAAACCAATCTGGCCACCGCCTGGGCTAATAGGGCAATGTGTTTATTTCTTGCAGCAAATGAAAAAACATTTGAAAGCCATCAGTTGCTTTCTCAAAGCATGTGTTAGTGGAGGAGCTACGGGACAGACAGCTGCTTGCTCAACAGCCGCCATCCTCCGTGCGCTGCTCCATGCGAAGCCGTGTGCGCCCAGCTTGGGAGTGCTTGGATAGCACCAGCCTGGCTCACCCCTGCAGCCCTGCTCCAGGGGTTTTATCCACTGGGTCTTAAAAACACTGAAATTGGCACTGAAGCGGGGGAGTGGTTTAAAGTAGTGCAATGAGATTTTATTAGAATAGCACGGTGAAATTAGGAGTAGGAAAATGAACACTGATCATCTAATAGTTCTTAATGAGGCGGTATGTGAAGTAATTCCCCAAGAGAAATGTCGGTTCCACATCTTGCAGTATTTCAATATTGACTGGGAAATTACTAGAAGGTACCATGTAAAAGACAGCCTGTTCTTGGCAAAGAGAACAAATTAAAAAATTGAATATAGTGGGTGTCTCCTTTGGTCTAAGCAAGAAGAATTAATTAAATTTAGAAATTCCTTTTCTGCAGGAGACTGTGCTGAAAAGTTGTGTTATAGTCAGTTAGTAATTGACTGATCCACTTTTTGCTGACTGTGAAGTTCATCTATCCCCAAAAACGTGTATGTTTTGTTTTGGAAATGCTGCATTTGAAACACCTCATGTGAGTTGTGATTTGGGTGTTTGCAATCCTTGGCAAGATAGTATCTCCCATGATGGTTTGTGCTGTAAAAATACAATCAGGCAAGATTTGTGGGACACAGTGAAGTACCAGGCATGAGGGACCTGAGTTACTGAACTTCTGCAGTTCCACAAGAGAGCTCCAGTACAGATTCAGACTAGCATTGAACTAGCTAGAAATGAAACAAGTCAATCCTTTTCAACAAATATAAATTGTTACAGTTCCGTTTTTCCAACAGAAAGTATAAAATTTTTGTCTAAGTAAGATTTTTAGTAGAAAATTACAGTTGTCCAGGAACCACGCTTTGCACAGAGACAAACATTAAAAAAAATTAGTGTTTAAAGCTCAACCAAACAAGAATTGCAGGAAAAAGAAGCTGCTGTTTGAACTTTCTCAGACTGTTGTTCTGGGCTCTGGTATAGTTTGAATCTCCAGAAGTCTTTCTGTAAATTACTAGAGTTTCCTGTCCCAAGAGCCACCCTGCAATATATATATATATATTTTTAAATAAGAGCTAATTAAAACAAATCTCTTCTGTCTGAAGTGTCCTGGAGGCAGGATGCTTTGTGCTAGGCAGCAGTAGTATCTGGGAGGAAGGGGGTCTTGCTAGATTTCCAAGCCAGTTCTGGGTGCTGATGGCTTTGTCTGTAGTGCAGGTATCTGATGCATGCAGGACAGTTGTCCTTACTCAGATTTATACTAATTATCTTGTATGTTACACAATAGTGTAGTTACCCATGCTTTAATCCTAGCAGCCATAACAAAAATCTGTGCTTCATTTAGCACTGAGGAGCTGGCTAGACAGAGAAGTTAAGGAGAGAGCTCACAGTGTACCCAGCATAAAAGTAACTCATAAATGAGTCCAGAGTCCCAGGAGCTCTGTTCTACAACCTACTCTTCACTGGGTCTTGCTCAAGCTTTCCAAACTCCCCTCTCAGAGAAGTGCTTTGAGAGCTCATCACTTCATCCCTGTGGAGCATCCTGCAGGCATAAATCTTTGGGTTAGGTATCATTTTCTCATCTACTGAGAGATGTGGGAAACAGGAATCCCCTGCCCAGCCCATGTCAGGTGAGTGGGCTCTGGCCTCTGACTGCCCTGTGATTTCTTTATGCTCATGTTTCTCCACGCCCCCCCCAGATCAGCTGTTTTGCTCCAGCAGATAACACAACCAAAGGTCAGAAGCCAGCTCTTTTCTTTTTTCAGTTTTTCCTGGGACTGCCCACAACCCAGCTAAATCCAGGCACTGCTTCAACAGTGGCTTTGAGGTGTTTCATGTTTTGTCATCAACTCTGATCCACTTCTGCCAAAACCCTGTAGCTCCTTATTTCACAGTAATCATGGATGTTAGGTAGCCACAACAAGCATGGTTTTGTGATCAGTTGATACTTGCCCTGTAATCTATGAGTGATGGAGGAATTCAGATGAAAGAAGTTCACCTTATACAATGCACCGTTATGTGTTGCAGGAGCATCTGACAGACCTGAAAGAAGATCTTGATAAGGATGAATGTAAACAGGAGCCTGAGGTTATTTATGAGACTAACTGCCACTGGGAAGGATGCACAAAGGAATATGACACTCAGGAGCAGCTCGTCCATGTGAGTAATGGTTGGGAGGAAACCCCAGCGATAAATTTGGGTTTCTGTGCACTTGTCCTCATTTTTTATCACTAGCTGCTGTACAGCCAGAGCTCACCCTGGGAGCTACTAAAGGTGCAAATCAGAGATACAGTGTGTAAACACTGCCAAAGCAGGTCGCTGCTCCCCGAGGAGCTCAGCTGAAAGAAGCCTCTCATAGATTATGTGATATTGCTCCCTTCTCAGCTGCTGAGGCTGCATTTTCAGTCTCCCTTGTGCATGGCCCAATGACACAAGGCTCAGTGCAGAAGACTGGATCAGAAAATGGGGAAGGGGGCTGAGCCCTTCTCTCTTCACTGGCCATATTCACTGAGCCTTCCCACAGAGCTACACCAACTATGGGTCAGGGATCATCCATGCTGTCCTCAGTCCTAGTCCAGGCTGGGAAAGCTTCTAATGCTGCTGTTAGTGAGCTGTAGAGCCATATCACTTAGAGGCTGTTGACCTGCTCAGCTCATCCCTCCCACAGAAACAGAGCCCTTTCAGAGTTGGGAGATATGCTCCATGTCTGAAATACAGAAAGTGGGTTGATTTTCTAAAACTTGTGCAACAGGGCTTCCATAATCACAGTGATGTTCCCAAACCAGTGTCAAAACCGCTCTCTGAAGGATCCCCAAACCAGGTCATTAATCAGATTTTCAGTTCTAATTAATTCCAAGAACCTTTTGTGTGCTTTGCTTCATCTGGGTATCCACCATTTCGTTCCCTTTGGCTTCTGAGGTCAACAAATTCCTCATCCTCAGGGAAGTGTCTGTGAAATTGGACATGATCTGTGTCTAAGCCCCATCTTGCTCCCAGCCCAGCACTCTCCCAGTCTTTATTTTGGGTCTGTGGTGTGAGTCCCATTTCTTTGAAGCCAGACCATATCTGCTGGGAATTCACCAGCCCAGCAATCCTGATGCTTGCAAAAGAGTTTTGCATTAAACACATTTTGCAACAGGAGCTGCTACCTTTCCCTTTAGCTGCTTGTCTCAAACAGGCTCCCAGCATGCCAGGGGCCACCCATGTGCAACTCACATGTAGACCCCTTCCTGAGGGCTTGTGTCTGTTTTCACCATTTTTTATATATCTTCATTTTGGATATGCATAGGTGCTCCCAAATTGGCATCAGTCACCATTTGCCCAAGTTCTGCACACAAACCTTGTGCAGAGGGACTACACTCTAAATTATAATTTTGGGCACACGCTCTTCTTCCATCTAAGGCTAGTGCCTGCCTGTCTCTGCCGGAAGCCACTGGTTCAGTGCATCAAGTCCTTGAGTACAGACAGATTTGGAAACGGTTTTCAAGGCCAGTTGAGTGATAAGGTGTTTAATGGGTTGCACATTGCATGCTATGGGACATTGGTTTTTTTGGGTTAAACCACAGCATGCCTGTCAGATGGGCTTGGCTCACATTTGTCCAGCAGTTTTTGTGTGTTTCCTTCTCAGATGTACGAAAAACTAACTCTGCCCAGAGCAAAGTGCAGAGCACCAGGAAGCTCAGCACAATTTTTTCCCAGAAAAAAAAAACCCAACAAAAATAAACAAAGAAAAATGTTTGATGAAATATTCCAAGATTTTCCTAAATTTGGAAGGTTACAAAAATTGAGTCTTCTGTACTGTGATTGCTAGCAACATGGGGTTGTGGATTTGGGATGCCCAAAATACACATGCAAATGAAATACAGATGTCATGGGCCAGCTTCTGAGAAGGTGCCATCTCGCCAAGCATGGAAAAACTCCAGTTTGTGTGCAGAGCAAAGTACCTGGGTGAGCAGAGTCTGTTGCTCACACACAGCGTGTTTGTGGGAGAAGTGCATGCCACCAGGGAGCAGCAGCAGTGATGACATATTTTTTCCAAGCACCACTGCTGCTCCCAACCTCAAAGGTCACACTCAAATTGAGAGAAGCCCAAGCAAAGCTTTCAGCCAGGTAGGGACTAAGGAGCTGTAGCTGAAGTGGGGTGAGCTGTGCAACTCCTCCTAAAGCATGTGATGGGAAGCAGATGTTGCCTAGACAGGGAGTGAATAGTCTTGAATTGGGGGCTACAGTTCCCCTCCTTTAATGTTCTTACTCTGGCTCAAACAAGACCAAAAGGGTAAGCCTGTGCTCTTCCACACTCCTAACACTGCTGTGTGTAGTTGTGGTTGCAAGTTAGATTCCCACACAAACATAGCCTGGAGATGTATCTCCTCAGTCTGGTCTGGACATGGTTTTGCATGTCTATGGGTCTCTGGGGAGGTTCATCAGATTTCCATCATCTGAGGCTAAAATTTCACACTGATGCCACGTTGTAAAACCAGAACTGTAGGCAGCAGAACTCTAAACCCATACAAAGCCTCTCCCAAACCCAGGCTCCCCCAGCTCTCCCAGCACACAGATTTGGCTCTCAGTGTTTATGTGTGGTGCCCAAGAGACCAGCTAAGCCCCACACATCTCCTCTTGTCCCTGGGTAGAACTGGGACCCCAGGCAGCAGGACCCTGACCCCAGGATTGGACTGCAGCACACAGAACACTGAGACTGGCTTCAGCTGGGACTGTGAAGGCTGATGAATCTGTTTTAATGTACTTTTGTGTCCTCATGCTGCCTCACTGCCCCAAGAGAGTCTCATCCCTAGCTGCAACATGTGTGCCTGGCCTTGGCCGGGGGATGAAGGAGGGGCTGGAGAAGATCTCAGCACAAAAAAGCCAAAACCCAAAACCAAAGTAGTTTATTTTAGGATTTCCTGTCAGTGAATGCCTTCTGAAAACACAGGAGCGAGGACAGGCATTATTTTTGGCAATGAGACCCCATCCAGAGAGACAAGGCCGCCACGGGAACGGCGCTGCTGACGGGCTGGCCTCTGGCTCTGTTTATTTTTGGCAGGGCTTCATCTGCCCTGCGCTGGGAAAAAAATGGCCCTTCTCCATGCCAGGGTGGATGAAGGCACCATTCTGGGTCTGGCATTTCAACACTCCAGCACAGAATTTTGTGGGCCTGAGTAATTATCAGTAATTGAGCTCTCCCTGCTGCATAGCTCTTAGATGCTGTCATTTCCTGCCAGCCACCAGCTCTGGACAGCAGGTGGATATCATGGGGCCAGCATATGGACTTAGATGCATAAGATCATTTAGGATGGAAACTACCTTTAGGATTATTGAATCCAAACAAGGTTTGTCTCCTGTCCATCATCCTCCAGCAGCACCCCAGTAATGGGTCTCAGGTGTGTAAATGCAGCACAGGAGGGTTCAGCAGAAACAAAAATTACTCTGTCATCCCCATCAAGAGTGGCATCAAGCAGCTGGGGGCACACTGAGAGGGCTCCCTGCTCCCAAAAGATCCCATTGCTTTTGCAAACCTCCCACTTCTAGCCTGCTTTGTACCCAGTGTGCTGGGTGCTGCACACCTTTGCAGGACACACCAGGCCACAATGCTGGGTCCATGTCCCTGGTGTCACCTGTGCACCTGGCACCCAGGTGCTGCAGTGCCTGACAAGCATTGGGGAGGGAACATCTGGCTTTCGAAGCACTGTGCATGATTCCCTGGCATCAGCTGTTCCAGGAGTGACCTGGTTTTTCTTTCTGTCCTACCAGCACATCAACAACGATCACATCCACGGGGAGAAGAAGGAGTTTGTGTGCCGCTGGCAGGACTGCACACGGGAGCAGAAGCCCTTCAAGGCTCAGTATATGCTGGTGGTGCACATGCGAAGGCACACAGGAGAGAAGCCACACAAGTGCACGGTGAGCTGGCAGGGACACATGGTGCATCTCACTTGGCATGTGGGACACCAGGCTGGGGTGGTCATAGAAATGTGATTGCAGATGTAGGCATGGCTTCAGGTAGGGCTCTACCAGTTAGCCACTGGCAGCAGCTCAGAGCCAGTCCAGCCCTCTGTGTCTGGGCTACAGCTACTTGCAGGTTAGACCCTGGGGACAGGACAAGGGGTCAGTGAGTGTGGTTGAGGTGTTAGTGGGCAAAACTGCATTTCCTTGGGAAGAACTATTTCAGAACTACCACAGACATCCAAAGCAACTCAGGACAAGTCACTTAAGGTGAAAATCCAGCCAATTTAGTTGCCTACATCCAAGAAAGAGATCCACATCTTTCTTGGATGTGGGGAGCTTCCTAACCCTGGTTGTGTCTAACCTGGCATCACCCACTACAGCTGCTGGGAATGCAAGATTCCCTCACCCACAGACCCAAGCATGCACACATGCCTCTTTCTAGCCTGGGAATCTAGGCCAACACCTCCTGCCTCTGCTCTCTTAATCCAGAAGTGAGGTTATGCCATAGGTGCTTAAACCCCAAGAAGAGCTCAGTCCCCAGACCTTCTGCATACCAGCAGGACTGTGTCTAGGGTTAGACACTGCCTGAGGAAGAGTATGGGGTACTGTTTTGTATCTCAACCCTTTGGGTGCAAGCTCACTGACCAAATGGGAGAGCTGGGCTCTCCTCCTCCTTAGCCTCAAGACATGAAATCCCATGTGTGCCTTCACACTTGGTGCCTTTTAACAAACTGCTTGCAAATGTGGGGCAGTCAAGGATGCCTGATGCAAGGCACAAGAGGGAAGCAAGGTTATGGAGTTCAGTGACTGTGGTCAGCTGATGGGAGAGGTGTTCACAATCTCCTTCCTCATATTCTCCAGCCTTTATTCCTCCTAAAGGTCTTCTCCTCCCTGTCTTTTGATATCCTCTGCTCTCTGCCTTCTCCTCCTGATGGCATTTCATATCTCCTCTGCAGTCAGCATTACACTGTTCCTCTCCTCAGAGTCTTGGGGATGATTCTCTTCCTGCTTAGCAAATGTCCAAGCCCTCCTCCCATATCTTCCTCCTCTTCTGTTCCATTAGCCAATTCCAGCCCTGCTTGCTCCCTGGCTCTGCCCCAGCTCCTGCTTACAAATGTTAGGATATGTATGATTTGCCTGCTGCATGGCTCCTTTATCAATCTTCCAGCCTTGTGTTCATTTAATTTAGAGCATAAGCTCCCCTGGGGCATAGGGCCATGTCCTTTGTTTTAATCTTCTAAAGCACTTTGCCCAGTCTAGTGCTTTACCAATCTTCCTTAAAAGTATCAAGAAATATTGATTGTTGGTGCATACAAAGTGAGCACTGAGGGCAAGTCTAGCCTGCCCTTGTAGGCAGAGGGACTCAGGAGACAAAAACAGCAGTGGCTGAATCCTCTTTAGTGCTGTGGCTGAGCAGGAGAAAATACTGCTGCACAATCCTGCCCTTTTTAGGCCTCAGTTTTGTCACACTGGGGGCAATGGCAAGGCTGTGTTTGAGTCTCAAGTCATCCTCTGCCTCTTGGAGAACTGCAGGCCCTCCATGTGCAGTATGTTGCAGCAATTGTCCCCAAACTGGAGAAGAACCATTTTCTAGTTGTCTGGGATAATGGCAGTTCTGCAGACGGTGCCCTTCTGTGGCAGAGCATTCCTTGTCCAAGTCTGGCAATTTTTCAAAGCAACACTGGTTTCAGACAAGAAGTTTGTGGTGTACATAAAGCTACAGATGAGCCCAACTGCAGCCTGGGATTTGGTCAAAGATTATTTCAAGAGATGACAGCTAGAACTCCCACTTGCATAATCAAATCCACTCGTAAGAGTGGGAAAAACTGCTTTGAACATGCACAGGCTGCTTTGCTGAGAAGCTTTTATTTGAAAATGTGGCCATAGAACTTTTGCTCTTAATAACTGCGTTTTTGTGTCAGTATCCAGCAAAACTAGAATGAACACATGAGTTGTCTCATGCTGAGTTCCTTTGTTTTCCAGCAAGAGGAATGATGTATTTCAATAACTGTAAGCGACTTGAGTTGTAAAGGATTGTTTGTACAGGGCAAAAGAAGAAAGAGATATACTGTGCTACCTCAGAGCTGTGGCATGTTCTGTGGGACAAATGGACTAATGAAAGTTGTCTGAGGAAGAAAAACTCGATCCGCCCTGTCCTAACAAAGCTGTGGAAGGAATCAGTTCTTGCAGGATGCTCCTACTTGTCCTTGAAGAGATATAAATATCTCAAGAGCAACTCTTCCCTATGTCCTCCATCCCTATGCTAGACTTAAAGGAGATCTTAAGTAGGCCGCCTTTTCCAGCACAACAAAGTTGCATGGGATCAACCTGTGCCTACATGCTTCATGTGTTTCATGGGCTGCATGTTTGCCTCCCTCCCTGCAGCCCGGCAGGTCCTGTGCATGTGGAGCACAAGATGACAGGTGCAGGTGCCTTTGACCAAACCTTTGGATGTGTAGAACAACTCAGCTGCCCGTGGGAAAATCAGACCTGGCCTGCTGTGGCTCCAGTTTCTTCACTGGCCAAGACTCAAACAGAGCAATGTGAAGTCTTGTCACAACTGAACTGAACTTGTAGATGTGTTTAAGTGATGTGAATACAACACATACATTACAGCAGCAGGGGCTGCTTGTTGGAATTTAAAGGGTGTTTTCTTGTATAGGAAGTACAGCCTGAGCTTTTCAATGCTCCCAGCTGAACAGGCAGTGCAACATTTAGTTAGAATTTGCAAGGAAGCCTTGTATTTCTTAAAACCTCCCACTTGCTTTGTCAAAGAGCACTTTGGAGACTCATTGGTTGGAGGTGAAATCCTCCCATGCTGAGACGGGGCAGGTGCAGGGAGAAGCCTCCAGCCCAGCCAGAATGGAGGGTGGCAGGACTTTAATCACCCAAAGCCTCACAACATCTCCCAGGCTGCTCCTTCTCATTGTGTGGGCAGCTGGTTTCCTTCCAGGAGGAAGGTTCCTGGCCTGTTTTGTCATCCAGAAATCCATCTGTCTTCAAGACTGAGAGTCTTGTTTTTTAAACTGGTAATGTCAGACAGCCTGACCACAGCATCCTCCAAGAGCAAACCGAAGCTGTAATTTGGGGAACTTTAAAGCTTGCTAGATTTCTGGTTTTGTATGTTAGGGAGCTGTCTGCTCTTTCCAGTGTTGGTGCTAGTGAAGTTGCAAGGCTGGTCAGACTGTGGAGAAGCTGTCAGTTCACCAGGTGGGAAGGAGGGGGCCCCTGTTTCTGAGTGCTTTAGATGCAGAGGGGTGGCAGGAGGGGCTAAGAGAGCTCTGGGATGACTGGAGGGGTGTTTAGCCCTGCTGGAAAAAAAGAGTCACTTGTTGAAATGTCAGGTGGGTACTTAACAAGGAGTAGCACCTCAAATATGACTCACTGCTGAAACTCTCAACTTACCTAGGGAGGCAAATTCTCCCAACAAAGTGGATGTTGTTCCCTAAAACACAAGCCCTTTAAAAAGAAGAAAAAAAATAAAGAATGGGAAACAGATTGGAAGGGTTTAGGCAGGGGGAAAATCAAATTTTTCTGGTTAATTAATCACTCCTCATGTGGTTTTTTTATTTTAGTTTGAGGGTTGTTCCAAAGCCTATTCCCGCCTGGAGAACTTAAAGACACACCTGAGGTCCCACACTGGAGAAAAACCTTATGTCTGTGAACACGAAGGCTGCAATAAAGCCTTTTCCAATGCCTCAGACAGAGCCAAGCACCAGAACAGGACACATTCCAATGAGGTAAGCCTGGGCTCACCACAGCTCAACGGAGGGCTTTTTTTAAATTTTGCTGACAATAAACATACACTTTACACACTGGACGCATGTAAAAAGAAACCTACTGTAATGTGAGGTTTATCTTATTTTTTAATGGGATTTATTTTTGCTGGGGAGCCAGACCACATTAGCTTTATATTTATGAAAGCTGTGTTTAAAATCATAAACAGATGTTAAAGTATGCAAACTTTTTAATCGACTTTGGAAATGAAAACAAGCATTTTCCAAATTTATAATTTTTAATAGCACAGATAGTATAGTACAGTTGTGCAAGTGGTGTTTAATATTACTGTGGAGCAGACTTGCAGTAATATAACAGCTACCCTGGATCCTGATGCTCTGGAAATAATAGTCCCTCCATCATTTGATGTACAATGATAGAGCACAATGCAATGCTTTGTTAACCTTGGATAATTAAGACCCACTATTAGTAGTTGGGGAGCAGAGGAAATTGCCTTTATCGTAACGCATGTGATGGTCTGTTGCAATCAACCACAGCCGACGATTGAAATTTATATTACCACTAATTAGCTGACATGGGAAGAAAAACAACACTCTAAACTTCTAATAGTGTTTTCAGCCATGAAGAATTCGGTCTGTAGCCTAATTTGCAACAGTTAAATATAGACTATTGGAGAATGGAACACAGTTGCCACGGCTGACAGCCTTTTGAAGCGATGCTGTGTCTACAAAGGGCTTGTTGGGAGTATTTTTATCTCTGGCATAGTATCAGTCAGTGATAAGCAAAGCTCTGTAGGTTTCAGAGATTCTGTTTGAGTCAGAATAAGGACTCAAAATCTAGAATCCTCTTCCAGGCCGAGATGATGCTGAGATGGACCAATGAATGACTGGTATCCCAGGGTTGTTTGAACAGGTTTGGCTATGAACCCAAATGTCAGGATTGTTCTCCACCAGCAAGATGCAGGTTAAAATTAACCCATATCCACACTTAAACTGGATAGCTTGGAGTTGTTTTAAGGCTACACTAACCTTGAGGCCAGGAGGGACCAAAAAGATAGGTTGCAGCCTCTCGTCTGCTTGGCATCCTGCATTCCCAGGGAGTGGTGTTTGACTACGTAATTTTTCTATGTTAAAGCTTCTTCCCCTGAAAAGTAGGCAATTGTGGTTTAATCTCACATTTTAGGTGTTGGAAATTGCTTGTTCTCCAGCCCTGGATTATTTTTTTGCCTTCCTCCAGTGACAGATAGTGCTGGATCCAGTGTCCCTTTCATTGTTGATATTTCCACTTCCTAATTTTGTAGTGTTAAGCGACTCTCCATAAGTTCATAAGCTGAATAAATCAATAGAGCCGCTGAAGATTTACATTTTTGCAACAATTTTTCCTGTCTTAAAGGAAATTTGCATCTCACTTTGATTCCTAAGGATTCACATGTGAATGGATTAAGACTGCTGGTACAGCTTTCAGTGCTAGATACAGACTCACTCAGCCCACTCTGTGCACACTGATGACTTTTTTGCCCGTAGATCACTTGAGCTCAGATCCCTGGAGTTTTACCAGGAGCATTGCTAGGCAGGGCAGTTTCCCATCTGAGCCAGCTAATGTCCCATGTAGAATTTTCATTCTGAATCTGTTAGTAAGTGTAATTTCTCCAATGGGTTCAGATTCCCAAGTGATCCAGATCAAGAGCTGCATTGGATCTGGGATGATTCCTCACTTCATCTGAGCAGAGCTTGAACACACTTGAAAGTCAGATCATTTGGGTTCCCTTTGTGCAAGAAGGTGAGGCTGTGGGGCAGGAGCATCCAGCTCCATGTCTCTTGTGGACCCTGATCTAAATATGCTGACACTTGGCACAAACTGCTTTCAAACCATCCAGCCGAAGACTCCAATAACAGATAGGGATTTTATCCTCTGCAGTTGCTTTCCCTGAAGGACACCTACCCCTCCTCTGGTGTAGGAACAGCACAGCCACTAGTGGAGGATCTGTACCAGACCAGCTGGCCCTGCCACAGGAACTATAAGGCACTACCACTATTCAAATGATCTTTTTTGCAGTCGTGCTTACTTTTGAACTGCTGTTCAGTCCTCCTTGATGAAGTACAGAAACACCCCAAGACTGTGGGAGATCTGTAGGCTGCATACAGTGGCTCTCTGGGCCATATTTTTGACATCCTCTTTCTGAGCATCATATAACACGATCCTTTACACCAGGTGGTATCCCTCACAGCAAAGCTCCTCACACTGGGCAGCAGGCCCAGGCAAGGGTCCTGCGTCCAGCTGTGGCCATGACCACTGCCTTAGCAAACTGTACTGAGACCTTGGCTCACAAAACCACACAAATGCAAAGCAGAAGTTTGTGGCTGTGAATATTTCCCATTACCCATTGGTAACTCTATTGTGGTTCTTAGCTACCTCCTAAATATTTTCCTCTGCTTGCAGTGTTTACTTGGATTACACCAGTTTAAGAGTTAGTCATCCAAGACTCCTCTAAGAGGGAATTTCCAGGTTCCCTGTGTTTGTCACTATCATTGTGTGACAGGATGTAGGTGTATGGTCCAAACAAGCTGAAGTTCAAGGATGGGGATATGTTACCACACTGGCTTTGCTTTGATTGTTGAAATGTCATACACACTATATTTTAAATTTTCAGTGATTGTTTGAATCCCTTCAGGGGATACCTTCAAAGTTACACCTGGAAAAAGGGCTTTCATCCTGTGATAACTCTCCAGTGCATACACAGAGGAGTGGCATGAGTTCATGGCCAGCCAAAGACTCAGAGTGACATTTTCAGTGACTCAAGCTGAACAAGGGTAAAACACATAAATCCAGTTCTGCTTGGTGTGTGGGGAGATCTACAGTTCTTCCACCCTAAGGAGTATTACCCTGTATGTGCATGAGCGTAGGAGTTTAGCTATCTAAACTCTTGACTTCACTAGGGGTGAAGATGTCACTAGATGACAAAGTCTGAATAACCCAGGGACAGATGCAGGCATACTAATGAAACAGCAGCCATGCTTAGCTCAGTTGCAAGAGGTATGGCCTGGTGAAGAGGATGATTGAATCCCCTTAGGTGGAGTGTCTGCTGTCTAAGCAACAGTGATCATGTTACCCTAATTGCTGGGGTCTGAAAAATCATAACTGTTGAGCCTAAAGAATATTTACTAAAAAATATTTGAGCTGTTCATATACGGATTTTTTTCAGCACATGTAGTGGGGGTTCTGTTCTTTGTAATAAAGCTTAATAGCTGTAATAGTATTTCTATAATGCTTGTCCAAAAGGTTGCATGATATTTTTAAATAAATTATTTAAATTTTTGTGCTTTCGTTTACCCAGCTATAAAATATATTAAATATTTTACCTCAGTGGGATGTTACGTGGATTTAGCTGGCTTGAATGATGGGCCAAGACCAGTCAGGAAGCATGCTTTTGAATACAATACAGACTTTCAGTGTTTTTCATGTGACGATGCTGGCTTTCTGCAAAGAGTATATACTCCTTTGTATTTTTTCACTTAAGTTCCTGGACAACATTACAGAACAGATTAAAAAAAAAACAGAATAAGAATGGTCATTTTGGGTAGCCTTCAAATAACATCTGTCTCTTTTTTTCTCATGGATCTATCCTAGTGGATTGGCAGAAAAAGACATAGAGTAGTTGTGAGGCCAAAAGCGGAATTTATGATGAATTCAAAGCTTCCAGTGCAGCAGCACCAGCTCAAACAACTGCAGTGCTAATACACTTTGGATTTGAAAACTCAGTAAAATAAAAGAAGTTAAAAGAATAAAAGTATCTGTTGCAGATTTCTGTTTTCAGAAGCATGGCTTCAGCCTTGTTTTCCTGTGGCAATCAATGATTCATGAATTCAGGATAGAGTGCTGTCGTCTGAAAAAAAAACATTGCATGCCTGTGGTTTGTTTTGCACAATAGCAGATTTCAAGGTGACAGGTGCTGGAGTGGTGTGATAGATTGAGTAGGGTGAATCCAGTCTGGCTTGAATTCACTGGACTTCCATCAGCCAAAAGGTTTCAGACATTTTATTGGTGTAGACCCCACCTTAGCAGAGTGATTGTGTTATGCTGAGTCCGCTACATCACCTCCTTCCCATTCTTAATCAGAAAACATTCCTGTGGCCACCCAAGCAAATACATACATGGGAAAGTAATACTAGGCAAGTATTTCATGAATTCTTAGCTGTCTTTTGATCCAGAAACTGAAAACAAGAAGTTTAGCCAACATGAAATGGCCAGCCAAGTCTGTGTGGATCAGCAGCAGCCCATATATCACATCTTCCATATCTCAGTCTTACAGAATCCTGTGGAGCAGATGCTCCACATTTTGCTGCTGCCTGCTGCTATGCTCATTATATTTTTTTGGCCCATACACTGTATCTGGAATATTTGGGCTTATTCTAAATATAACCCAAGGTTTGCTTGTACTGACAGAAACCCTACGTCTGTAAAATCCCTGGCTGCACGAAGCGGTACACGGACCCCAGTTCCCTCAGAAAACACGTCAAGACAGTGCACGGGCCTGATGCCCACGTCACAAAGAAGCAGCGCAATGACGTTCACCCGAGGCCACCTCCACTCAAGGAAAATGGGGACAATGAGGCAAGCGCCAAGCAGAGCAGCAAGGTGTCAGAGGAGAGCCCCGAGGCCAACAGCACCACAAGGAGCATGGAGGATTGCTTACAAGTCAAAACGATAAAAACAGAGAATTCTGTGGTAAGAGCAGTTGCTTTTGGCAGAAATGACATGGTTCCTGATTTTTCTGATGCTCTAGGGGCATAAAGCATTTGTATTCCATTTACCTCTCTGGGCAGGTGCCCTTCAACCCTAGAGTTCAAGTCCAGGAATGAAACTGCAGGTCAGGGCACAGTCCACTGCATTTTGTACCTTCCTACCCAGCATCATAAATTCCTGCCCTGGTAGTCATAGGAGCCAAGTGATGCCCCTTGCTGAGGTTGGCATTCCTCTGCTGTGAAAGTGGGTAAAACCCAAAAGTGTTATGGTCAAATGAGCTTTACCTACCCCACCAATTTAAATTGAGCAATGACCACAGGGCACAGATTGATGAATGCTTCTTGAAACAAAGGTCCTGGCTTAAGCAGTCCCTTTTCTCCTCCTCCCTGTACTGCTCACTCCTTTTCTTTCTAATCTGCTGCTGTTTGATGAAGCCAGTGGGGATAAAACTAGCTGTTCTATTTTTGTTGAGTATCTTAAAGCAAGTTCAATTCCTTGTTCCTGTCCACCATACACAGAAGCACAAAATCCCTGGGGTTGTCAGGGACCTCTTGAGATTATCTAGACCCACCTCCCTGATCAGCCAAGGTTGGCTAGAGCAGATTACTCAGGAGTACAGAAATTCAACACATGGCTCCCAGCTGCCATAGAAAATTGTAGCGAGATGATGGGGCAGGGGAGTGAAATTAGGAATAAACATGGGACCAGTGCTGTGGCCCACAGAGTACAGACTGTCACTCAGCCATGATCAAGATTTACAGCTCCAGCACCTGAAGCAAAGACCATTTATCAGCTTTCTGTCCATTACAGCAGCTCCACAATTGGCAGTAGTGTGGTCAGTGGTACTAAAGAACTGTATATAGTGGTGCTTTCAAACACATCAAACCTCTTCCACCCCAGTCAGAATGGAGGAGGAGATGGAGCATTATAACACATGAATCACTTTTACCTTTCGATGTTTTCTTTTCACTTTTGTACCCAAAGTTCTGTCTGCTGCATCAGCTCAGAGTGGGACAGGGTATGGGCTGGATACAGAAGAAAAGACCTTCACCTGCAAAAGAATGTTCACATATTCCCCAGACTTCCCACTTGAGCTGAAAGGACTTTGAGCTCCAAAATATATATTTTCTTGATTTGAATCCAGGCTAAAAGATAGTTATTCCTGTGAAAAATATGCCCTGGAGCTACAAAGATTTTCTCAGAAGGATTAGGGGGTGTGTTGTTGGACAAATTACTAAGGAGCAGCATGTTTCAGTTGAGAAAAAATTCAGTATTTATACATCCAGAATGTCTCTAATTGACTAAAGAAACAGTTTCCTGTGATGAGGTTCTGTACTGTGTTGCAAAAGCTGAGTGTGAGAACCACTGGACAGAATGACCTTTCTCCAGTACTCTTCCTCCATGTGTTTTGTTGTTTTTGTCCTATGAAAACACGGACACAATTACAGCTCCCCACCCTGCTTCTCCTGAAGGTGTGGGCTTGTTTTCCTGGGACTCTGTGCTGCCAGAGTTCCAGCCAAGCCATCTCACTGGCAGCAGGGCCCCGGTCACGGTTTCTCTTCACTGTCCCTCTCTAGCACCACATACTTCCCTTGTGCACATCTGACAGGTGGCATCTCATGGCTGGGTCCACATCCAGCTCCTGTTTCATGGGTAAGGTCAGGGTGGTGGGAGGAGTGAGATGCTTCACTGGTTCCCAACATTCCCAGGCTCCTTGTTTTGACCCATATTTGTGTGTCACCCCAAACCCATGGGAACAGGTAGAAAGTCTCTCCTAGGAGCTTTATTTGTGCCCTTGAAGAGGGAAGGCAGGAAAGATGGGGTATGGGAGTGGGGGATATCCTGGTAATTTGTGCTGTATTCTGCATTTCCCTCTTCCTCCTTTTACTAACCTGGTCCTTTTTGTTAATGCTGTCTTTGTCCTAACAACCTGTTCTTTATTCCCACTTACCCTTCCTTACTCTACCTTCCTAAGGACAGTCGGTACTAAGGTGAGCAAAGAAATCCTTTGTATTAAAATAGCTGTATAAAGCATGATCTCCTGCAGATCTCTGTCTCAATTTAAGTCTCACAGGGTGGAAGTGGAAGTATGTGGGGCAGTGGGGAGGGATAGGAGAAATTTGCTTGAGTGCAGAAAGCGGGAGGATGCAGTGCCCAAGGATTCCCTTTGCCACCGTTCTCCCAGCATCACAATTTGCCATTAAATATTGGAATTGGAATCTCTATCATCTAGACTGAAGGGCAATCAGAGCCAGTCAACCCTGCCCATGGCGGGCTGCTATGATGTAAAGTAACAACACTGCAGCACTCCGCATTCCCACCTTGGCCCAGGGCAGAGTACTTTGCATTATCAGCACTCCCATTTTTTGATGGAGCATGGGCCTGGAGCAGAAAAGCCAGGCATCCTGTTTGGTAGCAGCAGCAGAGCAAGTTCAGACCATATAGTGTCTGCTGCAAATAAACTACTCAATGTGAGTAGTTTACATTCCTAATGTAAATAAAATAAATATTTATGGTGCTTATCTGTCTTATCTGAAAGTGGGAGTTTGCAAACAGTGAGCCAGGTTTTTATCTGGCGGGGAAGTTTGTCAGCTAACATAATTATATGTTAGGGTATTTTAAAGACAGAAATATGTTGTGTCTGAAATACTTAAACCTTGATCCCATGTTAGATAAGCCAGTGTTTGCTGCAATATACCTTGCACAACCAGGTGACATGCTGCTTTTCTTCGAGAAACATCTGTCCTTCTTTTGGAGGGAGAGCATTTGGTTTCTCTCCATCTTGCAGTTGAATCACCATGGTTCTTCCAGATGTGGGGCGCTGTCCCATCCTCCTCTCAGAGGGAGGAGGCACCTGCCTTTTGGAAGAGCTGAGATCCTGCTGCAGCAGGGAGGGGTAACAAGACAGGGGAGAGCCAAGGATAGGAGCTCTCCTAGCCTCCAGGACTAACATGGGATGTTGGGCTCCTGATTTCTTTCCATCCATGTTTTCACCTGCCCAACCCTTTTCCCTCTTTTCCCTCCCCAAGATGTGTCAGTCCAGTCCTGGTGGCCAGTCGTCATGCAGCAGTGAGCCATCACCCCTTGGCAGCACCAACAACAATGACAGTGGAGTAGAAATGAACATGCACAGCGGGGGAAGTCTGGGAGATCTGACGGCGTTGGATGACAACGCTCCTGTCGTGGACTCAACAGTCTCATCTGGTAACTCGGCAGTCAGCCTGCAACTAAGGAAACACATGACGACGATGCAACGACTTGAACAGCTCAAGAAGGAGAAACTCAAGACAGTTAAGGATTCCTGCTCATGGGTGAGCCCAGCTCCACAAGCCAGAAACACCAAGCTGCCTCCCATCTCAGGAAATGGTAAGCCCTGGGCCTGGACCATGTCCTGTAGGAACATTTCAGAGTTTGACTCTGGTTTCATAACCAAGAGTCTGCCCTGGAGGAATGAGGATCATTCCTTATTGCCTCTGAGTCATGCTTTGATAGATAAAGATGTCAGGTAAAATGGACAGCTTGGGAGTAAACACAGCCATCTGGTGATGTTCAAGAGAAACCCAGGTGCTCAGTTCTACAGACCTATGAAGGGAGACAGAGGTTTTGGTGTCCTTGTTTCTGAGCTTTCCCAGAACCAGACACAGCTGTCCCCATTGTCTCAGTTACAGCCACAAGACTGCTTGCATTTTTTCTAGCAGTAAGAGTTCCCTAAGGGCTAATGTGCTTCTTAGGAGACCACTGGAGCACAGCAGCAATCCAGACAAGATCTCCCTCCATAATCTTGCTCTGACAGGCCTTTTGTCACTCAGAAGCTCTGGCTGTTGCCTCCAGCTTCATATGCTCATTGCCCACTGACTGGTGATTCCTGATAAAAGCATCTTTTTGAACCCTCTAGAGGTCCTCTAACTTTGCCAAGAAATCCAAAGGCATGGTGCCTGGGTTATACTAGATCTCAGAGCTTCTTGGGTTGCTCTTGGAAGAGCTCTTGAACATCAACCTTTGGGCTCTTGGCCTGCTCTCCCTGACTGCTGTGCATCTGTCCCAGAGAGTAGCTGTGGTTGTAGCTATGTGGGGTCCCTGTGGCACTTTTCACACCAGTCCAACCTTTGTCCTACTGAGGGAGGCCCACAGGGAGACATTTCCTCAGAAGCTGAGTATAAGGGGTGTACACGTTACAAACACTCTGCAGCAGGGATTTCTTAACTTCTCTTCCCAGACTTCTTGCCCCCTTTGCATGAACACAGAGCTAGAAATGAAGTTTTGAATTCACTAGCAGCACATGAAACTCATCATCACTCCCATGAAATATCTGGGGGTGGCTTTGTGGGTCTGTATTCTGGCACCTAGAACACTACGAAGTGAAATTTCTAAGCTGACTAAATCTTTTCCTTCCCTGCAACCTTTCTTCCAGGCTCTGTTCTAGAAAATAGTGGTGGTTCTTCTGCTATGCTGCCTAACCCCAGAATAATGGAGCTGTCTGTCAACGAGGTTACAATGCTGAACCAACTCAACGAGCGCCGTGACAGTACAACAAGCACCGTCAGCTCTGCCTACACTGTCAGCCGCAGGTCCTCAGGGATCTCCCCGTACTTCTCCAGCCGCCGCTCCAGTGAGGCTTCGCATCTCGGGCACCGCCCCAACAACACGAGCTCTGCTGACTCCTACGACCCCATTTCCACGGATGCCTCCCGCCGGTCGAGCGAGGCGAGTCAGTGCAGTGGGATGCCGGGTCTGCTGAACCTCACACCAGCTCAGCACTACAGGCTAAAAGCCAAGTACGCTGCTGCCACAGGGGGCCCGCCTCCGACTCCCCTGCCAAACATGGAGAGGATGACCCTGAAGAACAGGATCTCACTTATGGATGGGCCAGACCCCACCTTGCCCTCCATCCGCCTCCCACCAGGCCCCAGGCGTTGCAGTGATGGTAACACCTATGGCTACCCATCAGCTCCAGCATTTCCCCATGAGGTGCAGGGCAACTGCACAAGACGGGCAAGCGACCCAGTGAGGAGACCTCCTGGAGACCCTCAGGCTCTCCCACGAGTTCACCGTTTCAACAGCACTAACAGTGTGAACCCTTTCCATCCTCCACACGCCACAGACAGGAGGAATTTTGGTCTCCAGAGCTATGGGCGCTCAGATGGGAGCCTGCCCCGGCACACCTACTCACCTCGGCCACTGAGCATCAGTGAAAACATCACCATGGAGGCCATGTCCGGGGAGACAGATGTGCCCATTGGAGATGATGACATTATGCTGCCAGATGATGTGGTACAGTACATCAAATCCCAGAACAATGGGACAGTGGCTGAGAGCACTTCTGTGGGGTACAGCAATGAGATGCAGAATTTCGAAGGAGGTGGGAAGCTGCAGCCTCCAGCCTTGCCCAGCCAGCGCAGGATGGCAGTGGCAGAGGCAAGTATGAGCCACTTGGGACCCATGATGGCAGAGTGTTCCATGAGTTTTGATACTTCTTCAGACATGAATAAAAATAACATGCCTGTCCAATGGAATGAAGTCAGCTCAGGCACAGTTGATATCATGTCCAATCAGTCAAAGCAGCAGTTTTCACAAGGGAACTTAGCAGTGGTCCAGCAGAAGCAGAACTTCGGTCAGTACCAGAACTACAACCAGCAGCAGATGCAGCTGCCAGACAACAGCATGAATGCAACACAGCAGAGCTTTATGCAGAGAAACATGGGCATGGATGGGCAGAGGCTAAACTGCATGCAGCTGCGGCAGCAGCACATGAGCCTAGGTCCCAGCATGAACCCCGATATGGGCTTGCACACAGGGTATAACCAACCACATCAGATGCTGAGCCCCAGTGCAGTCAGTGGCAATCCAAATCAGATCTCTCCTAATTGTAGCAACATGGCAGCAAAATCTGGATCCCACCTTCACCCTCAGCAAATGGACATGGCAGCCAACCCTTCCTTGATGGTCAGGAGCAACGGTGAGCGCACAGTGCTGGGACAGGTCTTGCACGAACCGAGTCAGCAGAACTACTCGTCGCAGTCAAGCCACCTGAACTTCCCTGTGGCACAAGAGACCTTTCCTCAGCCCATCATGACCTCCAATCAGCCCAATTTTGAGCCTCAGCAGAGCGTGATGGGTTCAGCTGCGCAGGCATATCCGCCTGGCATGATCCAGCCTCATCCTCCACCAGAGCCAAACCCGGGCAGCAGACCCCGAGGGGTCCGCACCACCCAGCAGCTGGGCTACATGAGAACTCCCCATCCTACGAGCACCATCAGCCCTGGCCAGGAGACAACAGAGGCCATGCATAAAAGAACCAGCGACATGCTGCTGGCACCAGCCCAGCAGTGCGCGGACGGCACGAGGGACAACAACCTGATGTACTATTACGGCCAAATCCACATGTATGAACAGAACAACGGCTTCGATAACCACACGGACTGTCGGGTCAGGCAGCAGCAGTGCACACAAAACAGCAAGCCAGCCACTCTGCCTTCCCCAGGAACAAACCAGGTGTCCAGCACAGTGGACTCTCAAGGTCTTGAGCCGCCCCAGATAGATTTTGATGCCATCATGGACGATGGGGACCATTCAAGCCTGATGTCAGGAACCCTGAGCCCCAGCATCCTGCAGAACCTCTCCCAGAACTCCTCTCGCCTGACGACTCCACGAAACTCTCTGACACTTCCCACCATACCTGCAGGGATAAGCAATATGGCAATAGGTGATATGAGCTCCATGCTAACCACGCTGGCAGAAGAGAGTAAATTTCTAAACATGATGTCGTAACACTAAAGCACAAGGCCTTGGTGCTATCCAAGGGGCTCTGCGTGAAGCAGTTGTATGAATGTGCTTTTCAAAAATAATCTGTTTCAATAGAGTAGGGTTTTTTATAAGTGTTAAATACATTAAAGGATTTCAAAATGAATTTTTTTAAAAATCTGTGTACAGAATTATGTAAACTATATGCAGGCAGTTCAGTACCACAAGGGTGCACCTCTAGTATTATTTTTTTGGCTTGGTTTCCCGGAGCACTGAACAGTATCACCACCAAGCTAGGAGACAGCCTAAGGGTGGTTAGAGATGAAACCCTCCCTTCTGGGAAGCCCTGTAAATAGCCTTCCCCATCATTTTTCCATTAGTTACATTTGCAAAAAAAATCCGTTTTCAACCCACCCCAGAAAGAAATGGGAGGATGCGGTTTTGGTTAGAATAAAAGCCATACTATGTATTCTGCTCTGATGAGAGTAGGGTTTAGTTAAGTCTCCAAACAAGCCCTCTGCCAGCAGTATTGTTTTATACCATAAATACCTTTGTACCTTGCAAAGAGCGACGTTTCCAAATGGCTTCTCAGCAAAGTGCCTTACCATGCTTTCTTGTTAAGTAGCCAAGGCCTCTCTTCCTTTAAAAATCAAATATAGTGTATTGTCAGAAGCGTATATAAAATGTACATTTATAAAAACATAGTGGTGTTTCTGAGAAAACATTGGAAAGACACATTGATGAGACACATAAAAGGTGAATGCACACTTTGATCAGATGTGTTTACAACGTGGTTTATATCATGTGCAGAGTGGAGCAGAGGTCTGGGAACAGCAATCACTGGGAAATAATCCCCCGTGGCAGGAAGGCTCTGGCATGCAGACTGACACACATGCATAACTTTGCACCTTCTAAACACAGTGACTTTCTGTGAGTGCCCCACATACATCATTAATGTCAGAGTGCTGGAGCACACATTACTGGATCCCTGTGCAGCTTTGCAGCAGCTTCGCTCTCTGGTGGGTTTTCCATGCTGAGGTGCTCACATAAACAAGTTATGGTGATGGAGAGACTTTTGTGATTGTTCCAGCCCAGTGTGCACTGTGGCAGCACCAAGGGAACAGGTTAATCTGCCAGGGTTCATCTGTGTGATGTGCTCAGTGCAGGGTTCTGCCCGGGCTCCATGTGCACAACAGGTGCCTTGCTGCACTGATGTGGGGCCAAGCATAAGCCAAAACACCCTGCCCCACAAGCAAGCTTGTTGGCAGGAACCCAGTGCTAGCTTAACGTGTCCCACAGCATGAAAATACCTGCTGTATCCAAAAAATATACCACGGTCACCCTGAGTTGTTCATTTGACTAGCAGACTGCACCTGCAGCCTGCAGCACCTGCACTAGCAGACTGCACCTGCAGCACTAAACATGTGTATAGTCTCAAAACAGATATTTGAGTCAGAATAGTAGCTTGCTCTTTCCTTCCCATCTCCTGTCACATCAGTGTCATGTCCTCATTTGCACCTGACTCTGTCACTGCCCAGGACCAGGACAGCTCTGTAAGGGTGTTTGCTGGTGTCTTTGCTTTCCTTTTGCACAAACTGATGTCAGGATCACTCTTCCCAGTATCACCAGGGGCTGGCATGAAAATGCCACATGCTACCTCCAGGCAAACTCTGTGACATCAGGTAGGCAGGAGCTGTGGATTGGGACAGCTTTGCTGCCAGGTATCCCTGGCTACAGCTGGTGCAGGGAGGTGCTGCTCAGCATCCTGCAGTCTCATCATCCTCATCCCAGATGCAGAGAGTACACACAGGGTGCTCGCAGCCCTGCCTTTCACCCTTCAATGATTCCTGCTGATGTCCAGGGTGCATGAGGACAGGGAAGCAAAGCAAGGTGCCTGGCTGTTTATTTGTGTCTCCTGTGAAAGTTGTGTTTAAAGGGATTGTTTTATAATCTGCTGTATATATTCTCCTGCAGTTACTGACCTTGCCCTTGCCTTCACATTTATGAAAAGAGGGCAGTACATGTTTTAGGACATTGTATGTTGTCCTGGACGCTTGGAGTACAACTGGGCATCCCTTATGCTGAGATGCATCAGACTTTTGTGTGTCCTTTGATTGCTAATGACTTTTTTAACAGCTGCATAGGGCAACAATGGCTCCTGAGTCCCTCCTCACAGATATCTCATTAGCAAAAGTTCAAATACAGAAGCAAAACCAAATCTCCAATGACTTGAGATTTTTTGGACTTTCCAGTGGTGGTCTTCCTTCATTTACTGAAAAAGTATTATAATAATCTTTACAGCACTGTATATATTATGTATAGAAGACATCATTACTAAAAGTACTGTAGGTGAATTGTTCTGTCAAATTTATATCCTAAGAACATTTTTAGCTGTTTTCTACATCGTAAGAATGGAGGTAACATGCTGAACCTGTATATAAACCTTTTGTACATTAAAAAGTAATTTTTTTTTCATAATTCATTGTGTCTGTTGTTATTTCTTTTTATTGGCAAATGGCAATTGGTTGGTTGGTTGGTCTTGGTCTGTCGTTACCACACCAACACTGTCAGCTGGACTCTGGTGGTGCTTAAGAACTATTGGTGAGGAGCTAGTAGGGTGAGTGATACAGAACAAACGTGGAATGGTCTTGCCTTGAAGAGCTTCCACTTCACAATGAGCTGGAGGTGGCAGAAAGAGAGGCAGCAAGGTCAGTGTGTGCTGCAAGCACTGTCCTGCTGCCCAGGTGTCTTTCACTGCCTCTTGGCAGAGGTGATTTGAAGGACAATGGCAGTGCAGCAGGGAGAGGCTCAGAGCAAGGGGCTGGACAAATTTGTCAACCAGAAGATTTATGATAAAAATGGCTTGTTGACTGACTTGGTCGTTGTCCAAAAGGAGACAGAAATAGGACAGATTAGCAGAGCTGTGATGGGCCATGACAGTGGCAAATTGAATATTGGGTTTGGAGAAAGGAGAAATTAATCTGTGCATTATGTATGTGATGAGAAGCAATTATTGGGTGAGCAACTGATAGATACATCAGTAGTGACTAGTTAGAGTCTCATCCAGCTGCTTGATGAGAAAGATTTAATTTGGCTGCAGCAAGAGTTAGTTCAGCTACTCAAGAGATTGACTTTCAACTTGTTTTTGTGGAGGTGTGCACAGAGCTAGAGCCGTAAGGGAGGGTGAGGAGGCTCACAGGTGATCCTCATGGGCACAGCAATGAGCTTGCAGTGAAAGCTGCTGAGCCAAGCAGTTGGCCAGTGAGTCAGTGAATTACACTTGGTGCAAATGAACCAGCAGTTTCATGCAGAAGCAGCTGAAGGGGATATGCTCCTTTTCCTCTCTGTAGGATCCCTCCGGAGCTGATTGTCAGAATCAGGTACGTAGAATCAGGTACATATGGGACCAACCCTCATCCTGTCTTCGGGATTCCTATAAATGGGATGAATTGTCCGGATTCCTTCAAAGTCTGTGGCAAGAGATTGGCACATCCCTCTTGTGAAATTAAAATCATTTTTCTAAAATCATTTTCATGTGTCTAAAATCCTGTTTTAGACACTTGGAATGGGGTGGACTTTTCCTCTGAAAGACATGTGTCACTCTCCTCATTGATTACAGAGAGACCCCCAAGTAGCCAGCTTAGATGCCTTGTTCAGTGGGGCGAGGTGAATCCCATACTCCTGTGGATCTCTTACACTAATCTGGTCACCCTCAGCATGATCTGAGGTTGAGTCAGTGGAAGTGTTAGTGATCCTGTTAGCCTGTTATTTATTGGATAAATATCACAGCCCTCTGTACAGTCCAAGAACTAAAGAAATCACAATAAAAATGCAGTCATTTTATTAAAAGGAAATTTTTCAGATCTTTTCTATTGACAAAAGGTTTTGGAGACTCAGCTCCTACTGCTTTTCTACTTCAAACACTTAAAGTAGGTTTCTAATCTAGATCAAATGATGCTTTTAGCTGGTGTTTCTCTTCAGAGTTCAATCAGGGCACACCTCTGCCAGTGTGAGAACATATTTATTACTTAAACTGGGCTAAGATTTCCTAGGAGCCCACCTGAGGTCATGTACCAGCATGTGCATTTTTACTGCTTTACCATCCTGGAATAAACAAGGAACGAAAGGCTTACTGCTCCAGTTGTAAGCAGGTAATAACCCTTCTGCAGCGAATGTTGTTTATAAGCCAGAGCTTGGAGTTTATACTACTGTGGCAGCTGCATAATATTCAATTAACCTTCTTTTTAATCAATCATATCCCTTATGAAAACAAACCATCCTAACAGGTCTGATTCTGACCTTCTTTGGTGAGTGTTAACCTCACTCCACTCCCAAAACCAATGGGAGCATAGGAAGAGTAAGATCCCACTCTGGGTAAAACCATCACAGCTCTTTAATATTGCACTAATATCTCAGGTTTTCCTGGAGGGGAGAAAAAAGCCCATAAAAGCTACTGTTGCTGGATCTGATTGCACTTACTGAGTACAAAGTCATTCCAACAGCTCTTTATTGCAGTGGTCTCTGTAGGGATGACATAGGGGCTCCCGTTCTTTACGAGCTGTTGGATCTACTTGGAAGCGCATACGTGTGGTAAACAAATGGTGTGTTTTATATTATTGGAAAGACAATTTATGACCAACCAAGGTCTCTTGCAGACAGCCATTTAACTTGTAAGTAAAATGACCTAACACTTAAGAAATTTAGAAGCTACAAAACAACCCGTGTTGTGCCCAGTACACTTATTTCTCTTTGATTTATGCTTCATGTAAAACTTGAAATGGCCATATTAAATATATTTGGTGTAAAAAAAAAAAAAAAGAGAAAAATAAAAAAAGAACAATGCAATGTTTTCACATATCACTGCACCAGCACTTCCAATTCATAATATGGGTCCCTTTGCATACCTTATTTCAATTTTCCCCACACTGACCTGTCTGGCAGATATGTAGAGGCCATGGTGGCATGCCTGCTGTCACCTTTAGAAAAGCTGCTACACACAAATACAGTGCACTTGCTGGAAACATCTTTTCAAGCGTCAATGTCTTACCAAAAAGCAAACTCTGACAGGCAGAGGTATCATCCCACCCTTACCATCATGTGTAGGGTGGGCATCAACAGGGAGCAGAAGATGTAGCAACAGAGCACAAAAGGCAGCTTCTGCACCAAATAACAGGGAATGGGACTATATATATATCTCTGATCTACATTCCTCTGTCTGGCCTTAACTCTTAGTAAGTCCAGCCCAGGATAGTCTTCATAGAAAAAGGATGTTTAAGGAAGCACTTTGAAGCAGAAGCTTGGTCTGACGCTATGAATGTCTTCTAAAGGGCTCTCTCTTTCCTTTTCCCTTTCTCCATTCACTATACAGAAAGAGTACAGATGAAGAAAATCGTCACAAATGTCCCCTCTCTCCCCTGTCACTATCCCTTTTCTGTTCCTCTTTGGGAAGGACCCTGGAGTGCCCTGCCCATACAAACATCCCTGCCACGCTTTGACAGACAGACATTTTTTGACTCAGGACTACGAGGAACAGCTTTTCTGACACCTGCAGAGTGAACCATGCAGAAGAAGAGCACACATTTCACGGCTGGATGTTGGCCAAAGCACCAAGGTTTGTGTTCCAGTGTGGTGGTAGTGGTTAAAATAGATCAAATGAAATGAGGAGAGCAGCAGGGAAGGAATTAAAACTCTGGACAAAGCAGGGCTAATTTTCTTCATGGCTTTGTGTCTTCCAGTGTGTTTTCCACTTGGAAAATTCCATGGGCCATAAGGTGTAACCGGCCATGACAAAAACAAAACAAAGAAGTGATGCCTGTGAGGGTGCAAAAGAGATCTATTTTTGAAGAATTTAGGTCTGTAGAGCTTCACATAAAGGACTCCTGGAACAAGAGCACTATTTTTAGCTCCGTTATCTCTTTTGCCCACTACTCGGTTGGCCAGTCGTGCAAGCAGCCATGCCCTGGGAAGGTGCTGTGAGCTCCAGCCACCTGCTCCCATGGAAATGGCCGTGGCAGTGACAGCAGCCGAGGAACGCAGCTGGGACGGATTTGCAGCAAGCTTGGAAAGGCACCCCAGCCCCAGGCCTGGAGTCTGTAGGTGGGCTGCCCCACCCTTTGGCAGCACCAGCATCCTGCCCTCGGCTGTGCAGCTCAGAGCAAAGGCACTCCCAGGCTCTGCGGCTCAGCCAAGCTGCAAGAAGCAAACGTGCTTCTCCCTTTCTGCCACTGTTACTGTACAGCACAGGCTTGGAAATATCCAGGTGGCTCCACTGGGCCCCTTTCCCAACTGGCAAAGCAGCCCTCTGAGAAGGTACCTGCCTGCTGCACTTATCCATCTGATTGGCATCTGAGAAAAGTGTCTCCATGGACTCAAAACTGATGTATTCTTCTTTTTTCTTTTTTTTCTTTTTTTTTTTTTTTGAGCAAAATGTCTTGATGCGAATCGTTTAACCTCTGTGTCACTCATCAATAATGACGATAAGTGAAATTCGATGAAATGCACAGAGGATTAAACATCACTCCAGGCACACTGAAAGAGGGCGGCATAACCATATCTGGGAGATCTTAAGGAGGGGAGAGAAAATGGGCTTTGCTCTGCAGCCCAAAAGGCTGAACACCCTGTAGCACCAGCACCAGCTGCAGAGAGTGCTCCACGTGGTGATCATAATCACGTCCTGCAGGCCAGTGAATTTCTCCTGTTAGCAGCCATCCAAGCACCAAACAGGTCCCACCTTGCTTGAGAACCTCTCAGGAAATGATAGCTTGTCTTAGCAATGTCAGGAGATTTGTCAGAGAATGTGAAAGATGTTTTCAGGGAATAGAAACTGGGGCTGAGCCAGGTGAAGGTTTCTATTTAATTGGAAAAAGAAAATAGATCCCAGCATTTCCATCATTAACTGGAAATAAGTGGGAGCATTTTGAACATATCAGCAGTGGTCTATGTGTTGAAAGCAACAATGACACCAATGTGTTTGAGAGCCTTTTCTTAAAAATGAGAGACAGCTTTGTGGTCATCGAATACTTCCAAAAAATGGTCTGTATTTGCCCAAATTATGAGGAAAATTTAAAACCTGAACCCATTCAAATGCTTTCCCAAAATTTAACATCTACTAATAATATATCAACAACCTTATTATAAAGACCCTCCAAATCTAAACCTTGAATTTACAAGAGCATTGGGCTGAGACATGACTTCTCAAGTAGTCTTGTAAAAAAGTGACATCAAAAAGATTTTCAACTAAACTATTATCTGCACATTTCTTCAATAATGTTTTAACTGTCATTTATGGGTTTTTTTTGAAAAAGGAAGATTTATTATGCAGAGACATGGGCTGGTTTCATCACAGGTGAATCAGTACCAGAGAAAGTTAAGTCTCTAAGGAGTTTACATGGAGTTGTTTTCCACTCCTGATCTTTCTACAGAGTTGTTTCACTTGCAGGATGTTGGGTTTGAGCAGACCTCACAAAAAAAAAAAAAAA